TCAACCGTAACTGGTGGCTGTATCTCCTAAGCCGTCATTTACTAGCTTGGTTTTTTGATGTACACTCCGTACGAAACACGCGGCACGCCTTTACTCTCCCCACCCTATTTACTTTACCTGTGATTGCGGGGTTGGTAGTAATCGTGTGCTCTAAATCGTGTGAAAAGTGGAGAGGCAATTATTATCTTTGACAGAGAGGACCGAGGACCCCGTGAAAACTCGCCATCGCTACCCCTCAAGTTCTCGGGCTCCACTCCCACTCGACGATCGTAATCATGTTCGTAATTTTCGTACGTGCCACATGGAAGAGACCTAGGGTCAGGGTTGGGTAAAAGCCTGGTTTCCCCCGGTAAAGGGGGCATCCGATGCGTGTCGATGCAGTGAGAGGCTGGGTACGGGTGGGCAACCAGGTTTTTCTGGGAATTGCATACAAAATACGTCTGTGCACCGTCTGGGTACTCACCGAGATCCCAGGTCTGCATTATTTGAAAGAAAACCTCGGAGTGGCCAGCACTTTGCACAGACCCAAATAATTCAGACCATCAGTCTGTGCATGTGCTTTTCGAAGAGTCCGCAAAACAGGATATTTCAGCGAATAATCTTCAAGTAGATCTCGATCTTCGCACCTTCGACGAAGTGTCTAGTTGTCAACGAGAAGCACAGGCCCAACAAGTTAGTACTCGCTTTGCTCAAGAGTTTGCAACTACAGAGGAGGGACACTACCGTATTCTGAGCCGTTCAGCCGGCTCCATTTCATGTCGATCAACCAACATTTTAACCCTGTACAGAAGCCGTCGCCCCCCTCCCCAAATAAAACGTAGCGCGGCCAGGGTTCGGTAGACGTCAGAACGGCCGTGCCAACCTTGTCACGTAACGTTTTATTTGAGCGGTGGCAGAGCTGCGAACTTCTGAACAAAGCGAGTATTGCACAGACGGCTTGTATCCAACCAAGGCCCTGAAAGAGCTTGACTCCATTTTTCTAATTTTAGTCGGCGACCGTCACAGCTGAGCCCAAATACCGGTTGGCAATTCCTCGCTTTGCTGGGGCCGACTTGAAGTGTGCTGCCCCGAACCGGGCGCGGAAATGCCTGTGTGTGGCATTGACAACTGAGGTCCAAAGATTGAAATGAATAACGCTCATGTCAACACTGCGATGTGGAATTAGCTATTCCCCAACCGGAATGTTTGCTCTTCCCATCCCTATGTCCTCACATGAGCAGCGCCGCCTTTGCTCAGGCTCGGATCAGCCCAGGCTCATCTCGAACATAAATTTCTTGACAATGATATATATATTGCTTCATCCCCTTATCTCGAAATCGCCTGGAGGAGCGGATGAGGGCCAGGGAGTTAACTTTTCGAGCGCCAATGGACCTGCCATCATCCATAATAATTAAGAATTCTTGGCAGAAGTCGTGAATACCTCCAAGACGATAATAAATACGAAGTAGTTCTCCTACATCATTGCGACTATACCCGTCCCGATATGGCAGTATTTCGCCCATGTACGGGATGGTGAAATCACACAATCGTCTACTTCGCATAAAAGGGGCATTCTGAAGTCACTAAAACCACGCCTACCTATTCTCAGAAACTCATTTGTACATTCACACACGAGCCCCAGACCCAGCAGGCAACAGAATCAATTTCGTCTTTCTCATTTCAGAAAGTTCTCAGTGAAACTGGTAGAGCTGAATGGCTTGACACTGCCAAAGAACGTTCCATCACCGGCCCAGAAAATGAAGACATTGAGGCATATCAAGGAGAGAGTGTCTCCGACTTCGAAACTCCACGGAACGCCGATTGTGATTGGAATAGGGTAAAAATGACGGAAGGTTTCTATTCATGCTCGATCGGGTCCATTGATTACGTACAAAAGCGTGATCTGGAATCACACGATGTGTGATTGGAAAGGGTAAAACGGACGTAAAGCTTTTACATTCCTGCTCGTTCGGGTTCTTCTAATGGACCGAATGAGCTTACGTGATTCCACGTATCCTCTGAAATCACAGATGCGATGACTATGGTCACATGATATAAAGTCACGTGTCGCATAACTTCAGCCTCAGCTCAAAACTGAAACGGGGAAGAGAGTGCGCGGCTTGGGAACATTTCGCAAGTGGGGAAAAGCATCCGTTGAGCAGATCTGCTTGAGTTCGAGAATAGATCTGTTTCATTGCTGGAGATCTGATAGCATATCACTTGATCTTATGGCTCGTGAAACCATCCCCAGGTACGTATGCCGTCGAAGACTTCTCCTTCAAGCAAAACAGCGGTCATCAAACAGTGGACGAAATGCAGATAATGGGGCCACACGATGATAATCTAAAGAAAGCATTCTTCTGAAATGCGTACCACAGAAGCGGGTTGCAAACAAGTATCCTTATGCGTACCTCTCACCCCTCGACGTCATATGTCGGGGCGTGTTTCTGTCCCTGGAAAGAAGGATAATGCATGACATTGATTATTGTGATGATCGTGTCCGCTTCGAATGCCTTGCACACGAATGCGGACTAGATCTTCGTATTGAGATCCGGACGATCGTGTTGTAAGTTGTGCGTTTGAACTTTTGGTGTCCGGTTTCAAGTGCAGCGGAGGGGTGAGTGCCGGCGCATGTAATTGGTGGCGGTTTCTCGGGACGGGCGCACAACGACTGGCGTTGTTGTTTCTCAAGCTGGGGAATGTTTCTATATGAGGGAGCCTATTGGGGCAGCAACGGGGCTGGATGCTTGGCTCGTACAAGTGATGCTCAAGACAGTGACGCGAACTGGTGGAAAGAGGACGATGTTGACGCGCTGAGTGGTGCTGGGGAGTTCGAGTTGAGTGAGTGTCACCCAAAATACGAAGAGGGAGGAAAAAGGACGGTTTGCAGCGTTTCGTGCAGCTGCAGCCTCCCACCTGCGTGGCCCAGCTGCAGGTTTCTGCCCCTGGCTTGGACGACAAATGACACTGTTCAGGCACGGTTTGGCAGGCGTTGCCCTGGCAGACGGACCGACGGGGCCTCAGGAACAGCGAATCACGCGCAGGCCACTCGTCTATTTTCAGGGTTAGCGCGCTTTTGGCTTTTCGCTCCTTCCCTTCCCCTTCCCTTCCACGCCTTCCCCTTCCCTTCCCCTTCCTCTGCTGCTCCACTCCTGCCACCCTGGCATTGCGTCCTTCCAATCATCGCGCTCTGCCAGCATTTTCCTTCCCTCACTCTCCCCTTCGGCCTCCATTCTTTATCAACAGCGCCATCGCCGTCGCCATCGCCCTCTTTTGACCGCACAACACTTTCGTTTCGAAACGCACACACGGAGGAGACACGCAGTTGCATTCATTCCATTCCATTCCATCGCCGGCGACGTGAAGAGAATCCACGGAACGACCGACGACTGACGAATGACCTCCTGCGGCTGACCAACTCGACGCATAAATCGCTTTCTTCTCGAATACGAGGTGGCAGTTTGACCTTCCTTCGTGTCTTCCAACACCATCGCTCTTCTCCCTTTACACACACAATACCGTCGCAAAGATGTTTTCACGGCAGCAGTTACGCGTCTTCACCCTCATGGTCCTCTTCCTCGCCCTCGCACAAGCCAACTGGTTCAACTCGAATCCCTTCCGTCGTGAGGTCGTTGAGAAGAAGGATCTGCTGAGCGGTGCCAATTCAGCGGTAAATGGCCTCGCAGGAGGGACAGGAACATCAGCTGCGGCCTCGGGCACATCCGCGTCCTCGACCGACAAGAGCACGTCCACTCCCGATTCTTCGTCGACGCCGACGCCAACACCAACACCAACTCCGTCCGCCGCCGCCCCTACAAAGACAACCAGCACCCCGATTCCCACCGACTCCCCCTCGACGACCGATGCCGCAGCGCCGACTCCCACGCCGACAAATGCGGACAAAAACTCTCAGAGCGCTACAACCACAACACAAATTGTCCCAGGCAGCCAGACCCCGGGCGGCTCCTCCTCCACCGATACCTCGTCTTCGGCCAAATCCAGCAGCTCAGCATCCCTCGCCCAGAATGCGGCTTCATCGTCAAGCATGTCCCCGAAGACAAAGACCACGGTCATCGGTGTCGTGGTCGGTGTTGGCGGAGTCATCGTGCTCGCAGGATTGTTCGTGGTGGCTTGGAGGATCTGGGGCCGCAAGAAGAACGAAGACGAGAGCGACGGGCTTATGGGCTTCAGGAGTGGCAGTGCCGGACACGAGAAGTCGAGCAGCGTATCTGGAAATGGGCCCGCAAACCCATTCCAGAGCACGTTGGAGAACTACCACAATCCTGCGAGAAACGTCAACGCTTCGTCGAATTTCTGATCGACAGAATTAGTCAGGGGCAGCAGTGGAGGGACAAATTTTGACTTTTGTGTGTTTTTGAGCGCTCATCGTACATGTCTTCTCCTTTTTACATCGGACGGCCGGGTGGGATTGCATTAGAAGGGGCCATCTCATGGGCCATATTCATCACACCATCGCACTCTGCGTCTGCGTTGATTCCTTTCTCGTTTGTCACTAAGATACCTCTCTGGAGCAGCGCCTGATGCCATAGCCGGGCGATGCTTGTACCTAATCACATAGAATTCTTCACACCTCGTCTCCCTCTACAGCGTGGTCCATAACGCAGTATGCTCTATTCCTCAAGTGAGGGATCCCCTCCATCTTGTTCCACCCTCTATTTGTCAGCGGCTTTTACCCAACCCAATCACATCCAGCCAGGTCATGGCCTGCCAATGCAATCCAAACCTGCTACCTTGCAGCCTTGCGTGAAGCTGCAGAATCTCCTCCCATCCCATCACTGCTGTTCTCCCATAAACGTCGCAGCTTTACCTTTTCTTGCCCGGGATGTCGCCTCGCTCGCCATCAACATCTCAGTAATCTCGAGACCACGAGAAGCATGACTCAATATCAATATTCCCCTCTTCCTAGCGGCAGCCAACAGAAAGCCGCCACAACGAATATCTTCCAACGGATCAAGCAATTGACGACCCCACGGCCTTCGAAACTGAAGAAGCTACGGCCGATCAGGCTCTTGACCATTCTGCCCGGAAACCACAACGATGAAATCATGTTATCGCTGCACCAGACATCGCTTGATACACGGCCAACTCCATCGTACGAGGCTCTATCCTACGTATGGGGATCTCCCAAAGACCCAGAAACGATATTCATCACTGGATCCAACGAACTATGGGACATTCAAGTGACGAGAAACCTTGCCGTAGCACTGCGGCACTTTCGCTATACGGACAGGCCTCGTGTCACATGGATCGACGCCGTTTGTATTGATCAATCGAATCTCGACGAACGGAGCAGCCAGGTACAGCTCATGGGTGATATCTACAGGCTTGCACCGAGCGGAGTCATAGTTTGGCTGGGTCCCGAAGAGGGGTCGAGCAAGTACGGCATGCAACTTCTGGAGCAGTTGTCCTCGAAAGTGGAAATCGTCGAACCAGAGAGGTTCGTCCCTTCTGCGCAGTCTCAACGTGACGGGACATGGGCAGACATGAACCAACCACTTCCATACCAGGAACGAGAACTCTTTGCCTTGGGAGGTATCATCAACAGGCCGTGGTTTACAAGAGTCTGGATCCGCCAAGAGATCTTCCTAGCTTCCGACAACGCTTTGGTTCTGTGCGGTGACTGCACGATGACATGGAACAACTTTTGCAAAGCAATCCGTTGCGTTTATGCGAAGAATACCCCAGCTGTGCTGCGTCAGTTCCCGATCCAAACGAGGTGGTTTAGGGAGAACGAGGATAGTTTGGTAAGAATTTGCGAGCTTGCCCGCAAGACCCCGTTCACTTTCAAACGCTTGAGAAAGGCCCAAGGATACTCTGATTGCAAAGATCCAAGGGACCGAATTTATGCAGTTCTCAGCATGGTCTACGCCCCAGAACAACAGCTCGGCATTGTTCCGGATTACACCCTATCCATACTTCATGTTTACAGAGATGTCGTCAGGCGTTTTATGGGCATGGGAGACTTGGACCTGCTTGCCGAATGCAGGCCGACAGACTCATCTTGGATATCCTGGGTTCCCGACTGGTCACAGTTTTCGAGGTCTGACTCCTTGCAGTACGCCTTTCTCGCAGGAGGGCCTTTCCTTGCGGTATCAAGGAATTTAAACAACGACGACATCCTCAGCATCAGCGGGGTTCGAATCGACCGAGTTAGCAAGGTATTTGACCTTCACAATCTCATCGATTACAACTACGGGAGCTTCATCAAAATGATCAGAACGCTCATTCCTTCCGACTATGCCCAGATGAACTATGCTACCGGAGGGTCCGCCATCGAAGCATTTGTTCGCACTCTCGTGACCGAACAGCTTGAAGAAATCTGCCACCCACCGGCGCTAGGCCCCCCCAAACTCCTTGACGGCATCCGGACAATCCGCAAGATCATCGCGCCAGGAAACGAAGCCATACAATACCACGACTTCGACGACGGCGAAAAGAAGTTTATCAGCTTCGTGAACACGACTATGGAAGACAAGACCCTCTTCTTTACTTCCTCAAGCCCACCTCTGATGGGAGCCGGCATCCAGTCGTTGCAGCCAGGCGACTTGGTCTGCGCCTTCCTCGGCTGCGAGAGGCCTTTACTCCTCCGACCGATCGAGAACTCCAAATACCGAGTCCTCGGACCGGCATACCTCTGCGGCTACATGCACGGGCAAGCGTTTCTCGGGCCAATCACAGCCCCGTTTCGAGTTGTGACTACCTTCGTGCCGCAGTCAGGAGGTGATGTTTTTGGGTTCTTGGATACGGGTGCTGGAAGGTTTCAAATCGAGGATCCGAGGATAGACAGGCTGCCGCTTGACTGGAGGGATTACAAGAAGTATTGCAAGCAGGGACTATGCCCGTTGAGAACGGTTGCGCCGGAGGTATTTGAGAGTGTGGGGGTCAAGATGGAGTGGTTTGATATTGTGTGATGGGAACTCTGTGTTCACCACTTAGACGGATTTTAGGGATGGGGTTGAGGCCCTTGCAAAGCGCAGACTAACTTCGCTTTCGAGGCTTCGAGGTATCATCATGCAAAATAAGGCCTATTTACCAATGAGCTTTATGGCACTATTGTCGAGGCCCTAAGCACCTTGCTCAAATTCACATTTGATTCAAACTTCCTGTAGCTGACTTTAACTTGCTCTCTTAGAAAAACACTCAATCTTTCGCAACCGAGACTGCCTTCCTCGTCTCGTGACCTGCGAAGGACGCTGCTCACCTGAGATTTCCCTTCTGGGATTCGATAGTGTGCTATTGATGCTGCTTCGGGGACCCGATGGCCCCGCGAGTTTAAAATAGCGATGCGCCCGTTGCCGCTGGCTCCGGAAACCGAGTCGATGGCTGTTCACTGAGCTTGCAAGATACAAACATAGACCACGCAAAAACCAAAAACATGGAATCCAATACATTACCTGAGCCCCCCCAAAAAGTTAGTTAAAGTTTACATCTCCTTACCACAGCTCATATTCAGATACCAGGTGCAATGAAGGCCTCGACAGCCAATCGAAGTACTTCTTTTTGCCTCCCATCTTACGAGCCAGGACATGGTCTGCATCTCACACACACATGCAGTTAGCCCAAGCCACTCAAGCTCAGTTCATCCAAAGTTGGCAAAAAGAAACATCAGTCCAGTCCAAACGCCCCAACATCCAAGCCACACACGGACCGTCCCATTTTTAATTTTCCGGGGAAATGGCGAGGGGTGTCAGCGGCTCCGTGCCTCATTCGGCCGCATTGACTCCCCCGTCGCAGAGGGGTTTCGAGCTCCCGCCAGCAGTTTCAGCTGCAAACACCACGGCCTCCAGATCTCTCATTCGACGGCGCTCCAGATGAGATCGCGAATGGTCTCTACCGCGTCGAATCTTATACTGTACTACGATTCTTCTTGAACAATTGACTGAGTAAATTTACGCTTCAATCAGCTGGCTGACGATTTGACGATTGCTTTTGACCTCACATTTGAGAGGAGAAGGCGAGAGAAGATGAAGATATTCACGATATCATCGGCAGTGGTGCTGGCTTGCGTCGGAGGTGTGCTGGCAGGCGATATGCGGATCGATTTCCCTCTTTTCATGAGAGCGCCTGCGCCAGCGGGAACTGGCACGAATTTGCAAGTGCGCCTCTTCTTCCTTCCACCATCACGGAACGAACGCTGACGAGAGAACAGACATTCACGGGCGCCCTCGGCGGCGCTGCAGCAGATCCCGTATGTCTCTCCGCATTGAAAGACGTCCCTGGTTGAGAAGGGGATGCTGACCGAACCAGATAACCCAAACGGGCAACAGCAAAACGCCCTTCGCAGTCGACGGGTCGACCTTCGCCGACTTCCAGACCGCCGCCACGCGCTCGTGCAATAACCAGCACAACGCGTGCGCGCAGGCGGCGAATGCGAGCGGCGACAAGTCGCTGACGGTCGGCATGTGCGATCAGCAGCAGACGCAGTGTGTCGCGGCGCAGACGAATTCGAACGTGGTGGTGTCAGGGTCGACGGGGGCGGCGGGGGCGACTAGGTCGACGGGGACGACGTCGACGACGACGACGACGAGCGCGCAGCCAACGCTCAAGAGTGCTGATGCGGACTTCTTTTACTTTTGTGATCCGTGAGCTGCGTGGAAAGGGGTGCGGGGATGAAAGTGGGAGGAGAGGAATTAATGAGCTGGAACGCTTTCGTATGAGACAAGAGTCTCCGAGAGACTGTAGGGAGAGATGGAGTCTTGCATCTGGAACGGCGTTTAATGGGAAATGCTTTGGAAGTGGAAATGAATTGACGAGGTGGAACTGGAAATACATGGCGTAAGAAGTTGAAGACCCGCTCTTCACTCAGATCACTGAGCAGAGACCTTAAAGCATCGAACCTCTGCCTCACTGAGATCTGGTCTCGTTCTGCAATCTTCCAAACCTGTCTGGACATTGTTGTTCAGTTCTTTCATATCTCGTTTCGTTACAACTTACTCGAAGCCCCCTCCCCTTGAATCTCAACTACCAACTTCCCAAATTGGCTCCCTTTCTTCATCTCCTCAAACAACTCGTCAATCTCCCGAATATTATCAATTCCCTTCACAACCCTCGATACAACCGGCCTGATCTTCTTCTCATTAACAAATGCAACCATATCCTTGAACTCCTTTCTCGAACCCATTGTTGAGCCTTTCAGCTCAAGGTTGTTCAAAACAGCAGGCATCGTCCAGTCCATCTTTGGCGCAACAGTCATCCCATACTGGACAATGACTCCACCGGGCTATGAACATTAGCATTGACTCCACACTTCACTTCGACGATAACTTACCTTGAGCAACCTCACAGCCTTACTCACAACATTTCCTCCGGCTCCATCTATAATCGCATCGAGATACGGCCTATCTTTCGGCAGTTGTTTCTTTAATTCCTTCTCCCATCCCTCCGTCTTATAACTCACTCCCCCCTTCGCACCCATCTTCTTCGCCTTATCAATCTTTTCCTGGCTCCCACTCGTAACCCAAACACGACACCCCTTCGCAACCGCAAACTGCAGCACGTTCAACGCCACCCCACCTCCAATCCCAGTGACAAGGATATTCCTCCCCTCTTCCCAATTCGCGCTCTTAGACACCAGCGCTCTCCACCCCGTCAAGCCCGTCAGTGGCAGCGCCGCCGCCTCCGCAGGCGTCAAATGCTCCGGCGCAAGCTCAACCTCATCCTCGGAGACACAAACAACCTCCTGCAGCGTCCCCAGCTCGCACGTCTTCGTCCCGCCCAGAATCCTGTACCCCGTCTTGTCTTCGGGCCCCGCAGGATCGTCTTTCCAGCCCCGGCCGGGCGTCAAGATGACCTTCTTCCCAAGCCAGGATTTCAAGGCGGAGGAACCGAGCGAGGTGACGGTGCCGAAGCCGTCTGCGAGGAGGGGGACCGTGAAGGACGGGGAGGGGTAGAGGTGCTGGCGCAGGAAGAGGTCGCGGTGGTTGAGGGCGGCGGAGTGGATGGCTATGAGGAGGTCGTTTGGGCCCGGGGAGGGGGCTGGGGCGTTCTTTAGAGAGAGGCTGGTGTGATTGAATCAGCTATGTCTTCTGCTTATATTTTGTGGGGTGGAAGGAAGGGGAGACGGACGGATAGTAAACCTGCCCAGGTTTTCCCGGCTTCCCGTCTATGGGCTCGATTGTTATTGCTTTTGGCATCTTGTCGTTAACCGTTCGGAATCAATTGATGTGTTGGGAAGCCTGATAGCTTTTCAAAAGCGAGGGGAGACATTGTGAAGTGAGGTTGCTTGATAATTTAATGACGTTTGGGGCGGAGCGCGGAGGTACCCCGCCATTTTTTATTGCCGAGGCTCGCGAAGCTTTGCCGAATGCGGAAGCGAGACCGGATTTGTGGAATAGGGGCACATGTAAGCAGTGAGAAGTTGGTTTATAAACTTGTTAAAGATATTTTACATTCTCCAGGGGACTTTCCTCTTTGCTTCTAACAGTTTGAGACGGCGTACGGTGGTGTGATGGGTTGCCAAATTAATGGATGTGAGGATCCGCTCGTCTGTTCCCCGTTCAAGCTCCGGCAGGGTTCACAACAATTCTCGCACAACCACACCTCCACCACTACCAGCTTCTCCTCAGTCCTTTCCGCGTAGGCCTAAGCAGGAATTATATCTACTTGGAATAGTCTGGATGTAGGGCCTGTTATATTTTTGAGTGAAGCTTTATTGCATGAGACGTGACACACCCATCCCTCTCGGGACAGTCAGATTTCAAGGGATGCCTATCCCGTAATATCAGTACTAATTAAGGAGATAAGGGGAGACGTAAGCTTACCCCGCGCACTGTAACCTTAGCTGTCGCTTAATTAAGTATAATCCCATGACATTCGACTGTCGTATTGGCAAGCCCCTGAATGCATTTTTTGGAGTCGAATCATAGGCGAAGTCCCCGGTCAAACATATATACTTTCCGTCAGGTTTATAGTGCATCCACCTAGACTTAGTCCGTGCGCTTCCAGTGTCTTGTTCAAGTACGGACTCCAACTCCAATGCGTGCCTTCCGTTGACTCGCCTCCATCACCACAGCAAGTTTCGCGATGGCTCGAATACGCGCATATTTCAACAAGCGTCAGCACCAGAACAAGAACAAGACTGAGCACCAGCACGTCCATTAGTGGGCAACGAGCAGGCCGCAGGCTTCAAGCAGTAGAATTTGCACTCTCCATTCTCATCACATCTGAACTTCCCTCGCAGGTTGCTGTCGCTCTGGTTTTCCGGGTCCTAGAACTCATATTTCCCGTTTGCAAACGTGTGCCACATATCGAACACAGCGCCTGGAATGCCCTTTCCGATCACGAGATCTGCGACTTTGCCATGCAACAGAGTTGAGTGTCTATCTGGTGCTGGATCTTGGTTGATGCTGCCGCCGAGTTCGTGGAACGGAGCGTTTAGGTGACCAGAAGGGGCCGAGAATCGAGGAGGATGTGGGGTTTGCGCCGTCAATGAGGAGTTTGTGGGCAATTTCGTCGACAAGTCTGTGAAATTGTCAGGAAGGAATCAAATCGGCCATAGCAGTAAACACTTACGATTCCAGACCAAGCGCGTCGGAAATACGGTGGCCCTGGTGTCTTGTCGAGGTGCTCATTTGTGCAACGTGGTTCGCAAACTGCATGACCATCATCCACTCGTCCACTGTGAGCTCAACTTCTCGTGCAAAATCATGGAGATGGCTGATCAGATGGACATAACCAATCGGTTCCGAGGGGTGATATTGGGGTCAATTGTGTCAATGCAATGCTTGGTGAAGTTGGGATCAAATCGTGAAGCAGGCTTGCCAGACATTCTGATGGTGGTGGTAGAATGTGAGGCTGGAATGTATGATGAAACTGAAAGTTGATGGAGGGGAATCTGGGAGATGATGACAGAAGGAGCTGGTATCTTTGTAGAAATGAAAGGAGTGAATTGAAGGACTGAGGGCGTAACACTCGGAGCCCTTCCCCTTTGATACCCACGCCGTCACTGGGCGGCCGTGTAATGCCATCAACAGCAAGCTACCCCTCCTCCATGGCGGCACGCCACTCGGCTTCTCAATATTGGCCCCCACCTTGTTGAGCAGCGAATTTGGGGCGGCTGTGAGGGAGGATGTTGGATGCTAGGAATTGGACGTGCGCGCTTTCACTTGCCGCCACGAGTCCCGATGCTCTGTGGTGGCTGAGCATTCTGCCGCGGGGTTTGCAGGCCAGGGGTTTTTTTCGCTAGTGTGGCGCCTCCAGGTCCCTCAAAAACACCCGTGTCGGCTGCAGCAACAGCACCTTGCATTTCCCGCTCTTCCTCACACTGCAAACTCGGTCCTTGGGATGTCACTTCCGTAGTAGATGCTTCGTCCTCTAGTCTCATCTTCAGCTGTCCACCTTTGCTCCAGGCTCAGATCTCGACCTCCTGCTTCTCATCTTCCAAGTTGCAGGATGTTGCATCATTTGATGGTGGGGACTTGGACCCCGCCAGGGGCCATCTTCACCTTTGAATTCAACGACGAGGAGTTGACATTGAAGCTGATCAAGAGAACAGCAATTCCCGAGAATGAGCCAATTTCATGGATGACATTTGACGTGAGTTCTGTCACGAGAAAGGGAACTCTCAGCTGACCGTCACGTGCCAGCATGCAAAAAAGAACATTTATGGAGCGGCGATGAAGAAATGGTCCAGTTTTGCTGTGGAAAGTCCAACTGAGATCATCCATCAAGCGTCACATCCCATGGAGCATGAACGTGCGTAATTTTAAGTTTGATTATTGATGAACGGGAAGCTCATTTTCACAGCTCAAGCATCAAGTCCAGACACGAACACACGAGCAATCTTCGTCTTGGCAGCAAAGCAACCACCGTTCAGCGTGTACGGCAACCCTTTCTATGACCACGCTGGTTTCGGGAACGTCTTCTCAGTCAATCAGGAAGGAGCGCTCGAGAAATGCGTCCAAAATTACGAGTACAGTCCCAAGACAGGAATCCACGGCATGATCTTCGATCCCACAGAAACGTATCTTTACTCGGCAGACCTGCGGGGCAACAAAGTCTGGACTCACAAAAAGGACGCCCAAGGCCAACTGACGCTCGTTCACTGCGTGGGAGCTCCTGATCCAGGTGATCATCCGAGATGGGTGGCGTTGTATCAAAATTATTTATATGTTTTGATGGAGGCGGGTAACCGGCTGGCGGTCTATGTGATCGATGAGCAGACTCATATTCCAGTGTTTACACACATCACATATCCTTTGATTCCTCCAGGTCCGCTCTCACTGTAGCTTCTTGGATCTTCACTGACACTTTGCAGGAATCCCAAACTCCAAAACGATGTATCGGTCAGATGTCGTCTTCCTCTCCCACAGCAAGAAATACCTCTTCGCCACTTCTCGTGCAAATGCACACAATCTGACCGGCTACATTGCGGCGTTCAAACTCGGCCTTGCGGGGAACATCGAGAGACAAATATGCCTGAATCCTACCCCAACGAGTGGTGGGCATTCAAATGCAGTCAGTCCTTGCGATTGGAGCGATGAGTGGCTTGCATTGACGGATGATCAACATGGATGGATCGAAATTTACCGCTGGAAGGACGAGTTTCTGGCGAGGGTTGCACATTGCGATGTCAAGGAGCCTGGGTTTGGGATGAATGCCATTTGGTATGATTAGAGTGAGGTAAATAGAGTGAGAACCCGAATTCATGTACAGTAGAGTTCGGAACACTCATTGATCTTTATTTTTGACCCCTATTTTATTTGCACTAACCTTCTACGGCTAGTCTCATCACAAACCCCCTGCATTCGCTTATCTCCCTGGTGCAGTGAAGTGAAGAAGAGTATGCGGGCAATTTGAACCGGAGTCACACCAAGGGGTGATTCCATCCGTCTAAATTCACTTCGTTTATCACAGCCAGATTCATCTACAAACACATATTGATACGAGCGGAAGCCCGAATCCCACGATTTATGGATATACAAGTCTCGCAGATCAGCAGTTCATCCCTTTGCTATCGGCGAATTTGTTTTTTTTAGTCCAACCGCGGGATTCCAGCGCTCTCCATATGCTAGCAGCTGTTACATGCGTGTCAAACTCGTTCAGCGCAACGAGCACATCTCATCGCGGTAGAAACCAGGCTTCTCTAGCAAGTACTCGCACAGAGCGTCCAACATCGGGGATGTAATGAGGGCGCTTTCGTGGAGCCAAAATGACGAAGGTTTAACTATATCGCAAACACGGAGCGCTCCCTACACCCAACCTACGACTTCAGCTATTTAGCAAGAGGATGGCTACTGAGGATTGTATCTCGAATTTGCGCGTGCTGCGACTCTGCGAGATTCGGCGTCATTCTGGGGAGTGATTACTGTGAGCGAGAATATCTTCATCAAGTTGCACGAGCCAGGAGTCCGTGCGCATCTGGCAACCAAGCCGCGCATTGGAACTCAGCGTGCTCTTGGCACATACAGTAGAACCTCGATATAACGATCCCTGACATAGCGATATCCTTAGTAATACGATACGGCCTTAAGGTCCCGCACTTTTTTAGCCTTAGGCTTACGATATCCTTGGCATTACGATTATCGTAAGGTTTTTCGGTCCCAACCTTTAATTTTTGGTGGTATATCGTTCTAATTTATCAAGAGAAGGAGCAATTTATCAATGCTCCAGGGCCCTCTGGCACTGGTAGCACAGCCTCTTAGGCTATCGATCTCACCGAATCACAGCCCCTTGATCTTACCACTCGTTCTCTAGCCCCTGAACAGCCCAAAAAGAGACGGAGGCATAACAGAAGCTGATCGACGAGCGCTACGGAGGTCCTTCCTTATTTATTATATGTGCACGTGATCCTTGATTTAACGATACCTCGGTGTATCGTTAGAAAAAGGCGCTAAAATTGATATCGTTATATCGAGGTTCTACTATACCAGAATCTTTGGCCTTGTATTGAGATTTAAAGGGTATTGTCGTTTCAATCAGGAAAATTTATTAATCGGCCGTCAAGATGCGGATATAATATGTTTACTTTCTGCCAAAAGTGATTCCATTGACTCCACCATTGATGTTCCCGGCTTGGAAGCCCGAGTTGTGAGCACCGAAAGTCACTGTGGTTAGACCGCTCTGGTTTCCCGCGGCTTTCGCAACAGTTTCTTCCTGCGACTTAGACAGCAGCTCATTCAGCAGCTTCTGCGACGCTTTTACCCCTTTGAATTCTTCTTCAAGTTGTCGCAATGCCTCAGTTTTGCCCCCCCTGGATCCAGCCGCTTCGTCATCATCGCTGCTAAGGTTCAGCTCTTCCAGCCTGTTCTCTAACACTACCAGCTGTCGATCCGCTGTAGTAATGGCACCCTTAACCTCAGTCTGCTTTGCAGATATCGTCTTCTTGACCTCTTCCGTAATGTGGCTATGGCGGACGGAGCTGTATCTATTAAGGCAAGGTTAGCGCATCTTTGGCACGGAAAAGGCTTAAATTAGCGTTACTTACAAGGTCGCTATACTGACAACGGAATTAATAGTGAGCTTGCAGTTCGAAAGCTGCTCTGACATAGCCTTGATTTGCCCTTGCTTGAAGAATCCCACATTTGCTCGATCCTGCCATGCTAATTTTCCATCTTCCGAGTGTCTAGTCCATCGCTGCAGGTCTGCTCTAAAGAGATCGCATGCTTGTGTGCAGCTGCTAATCGTCGTCTCTGACTGCTCAGCTATGCCTGCACCAAGTAAGCCCCATTCTCTCTCCTCTACACTTTGGAGCAATTTAAGTGCCGTGTCGACAGAGTGCACATCTTCCACCAGACGCTTGACGGTTTTAGGTGCCTCTTTGAGCTGCTGCAGATCTTCTAGGAGTAGTCGTGTGCCGTGCAAGGCTGGCACAATAATACCCACGGCACCAGCGGTAATACTGAGAGGATCAGCCATTTGTGTTTGTTAACGACAGAAGCAGGCGTACAGTAAAACGAAGATCTAAACATTGAGCTAAGGCTTTGGAGGCGTCGTTCAAACATGATTGGAGGGTAACCTCAAACAGTTGCGGCTGAAGGATGGCGAACTACATCGACACACTCGGCTGCTGTCAACACACTTCGTCGCAAAATCACTCGGTTGCGATGGCATCCGCGATATCTTTTGGCGACGCCAACTCCGGCTTCCAAGCCGGAACAATCAACGGTCCGGTCAACACTGAGTTTCATCACCATGCCCCTCCTGGTGAGTTGCAAAAGGGTCCAAGCTAAACAGCGCTAACGACGGCCCCGCCCTAGAGCGAATGGAGACCCCACCGAACCCGTCGGTCGTCATACCCTTCAGTCGCGATACCGACTTTGTCGAGCGAGGAGAAATACTTGATCAGATCCACCAGAAATGCGCTGTCTTAGGGTCTCGGACCGCGCTCGTTGGCCTAGGCGGTGTCGGGTAAGCGCAAACGCCCCCGCGAATACAGTACAGATGGCTAACTGCTGTGAAGCAAATCGCAACTCGCTATCGAATACGCGTACCGAACCCGAGACCTATCACCAGAAACGTGGGTTTTCTGGGTTCACGCAAGCAACGCGGCCCGGTTTGAGCAAAGCTTTCGAGAAATTGCAAACTGCGTCAAGATCTCCGGAGGGCAGAGTCTACAGACCAATATATTCCAGCTTGTGCACGACTGGCTGCGCAACGATAGGAAGGGAAAGTGGGTTTTTATACTCGATAATGTGGATGATGCTGCCTTCCTCGTCGAGACTCCAAGGACCGGTCAGGATGGACAAGCGAATGGCGTAGGCAGTGGGAACTTACGACCGCTCGTGTCATACCTTCCGCAGTGCCCGAATGGTTCGATTCTCATAACAACACGGAGCAAACATGTGGCTCTGAAGCTGGTTGAACAGCGCGATATCATTGCAATCAAGCCAATGAGTAAGCCAGATGCGCTAGCACTCTTGGAGGGGAAGCTAGGATGGCATGGCGACGGCGATGACGCTGCTGAGCTCGCTGCGGAGCTCGAGTTTATGCCGCTTGCCATTGTTCAGGCTGCTGCATACATTTCCCAACGGGTGCCGCGATATTCCGTGCGAGAGTACCTCAAGGACTTGCGGAAGAGCGATCGGAAGAGAGCTAGTCTCCTTAACCACGACTGCGAACAGCTCCGTCGAGATCGGGAGGCGAAGAACTCTATCATTATTACATGGCAAATATCATTCGATCATATCCGTACGATAAGACCATCAGCTACTGACTTATTGTCGCTTATGAGCTTTTTTGATCGGCAAGGAATCCCCGAGGCTCTGCTTCGAAATCGAGATGAGCGGAGAAACTCGCTGCAAGGCCAGAAGGAGATCAACGATGATAATTCTACTGACATCGATACTGACATCGATGCTGGCTATAGTGATGACGATGAAGATAAAGCCTCACAGCCTAGTGTGAGTGATGGATTTGAAGGCGATGTCTTGGCCCTACGAAATTACTCATTCATCTCTATTAATACAGACGGCACAACCTTCGAAATGCACGGTCTGGTGCAGCTAGCGACGCGAAAATGGCTTGAAGCTCACGAGCAGCAAGAGAGATGGAAACAGCGGTTTATCAAAAATCTTGACGCAGAGCTTCCGACGGGAAAGTACGAGAATTGGGTGAGGTGTCAGACGCTTTTCCCACACGCGCAATCCGCAGCAGCACAGCAGCCGCAGGAACAAGACTCATTAAGACACTGGGCTTCAATACTATACAAGGCAGCATGGTACGCGTGGAGCATGGGGAAAGGAGTAGAGGCGGAGAAGATGTCGGTTCAGGCAATGAAAGTTAGAAAGAAGATTCTCGGTCGAGAGCACAATAATACACTGGATAGTATGGGAATGGTAGCCTTGGCGTATAATCTTAGGGGCCGATGGGACGCTGCTGAAGAGCTACAGGTGCAAGTGCTAGAGACTCGTAAGAAGAGACTCGGAGCGGACCATCCAGATACGCTAAGAAGCATGGCAAACCTAGCGTCGACGTTTTGGAATCAAGGCCGGTGGGACGCTGCCGAAGAGCTAGATGTGCAAGTGCTAGAGACTCGCAAGAAGAAACTCGGAGCGGACCATCCAGATACGCTAGCTGGCATGGCAAACCTAGCGTCGACGTTTTGGAATCAAGGCCGGTGGGACGCTGCCGAAGAGCTACAAGTGCAAGTGCTAGAGACAAGCAAGGAGAGACTTGGAGCGGACCATCCAGACACGCTAAGAAGCATGGCCAATCTAGCGACAACATATAAGAAACAAGGCCGGTGGGACACTGCCGAAGAGCTAGAGGTGCAAGTACTAGAGACAAGCAAGAAGAAACTCGGAGCGGACCATCCAGACACGCTAAAAAGCATGGCAAACCTAGCGTCGACGTTTTGGAATCAAGGCCGGTGGGACGCTGCCGAAGAGCTAGAGGTGCAAGTGCTAGAGACAAGCAAGGAGAAACTCGGAGCGGACCATCCAGACACGCTAAATATCATGGCCAACCTAGCGACAACATTTAAGAAACAAGGCCGGTGGGACACTGCCGAAGAGCTACAAGTGCAAGTGCTAGAGACAAGCAAGGAGAGACTTGGAGCGGACCATCCAGACACGCTAAGAAGCATGGCCAATCTAGCGTTAACGTACAGGAACCAAGGCCGGTGGGACGCTGCCGAAGAGCTAGAGGTGCAAGTGCTAGAGACAAGCAAGGAGAAACTCGGAGCGGACCATCCAGACACGCTAACTAGCATGCACAATCTGGCATTTACGTGGAAAGAAACAGGCAGAGAAACCGAAGCTATAAGACTTATGGAGGAATGCATACAGTCACTAAAACGTGTCTTGGGACTTGATCATCCAAATACCTTATCGTCCTGCACCGCTTTAGTTGCATGGAAGGCCGAGCAAGCGGATGTTGTGGTTTGAGTCCAAAGGAGTGTGGCCAAGATAAATAGATTAGATTCATTTGTCAAGCGTATAGTACTATATAATATTTGTAATACATAAATACGCATTGAGCAAACAATAGAGCTGACGATTTGTATAGTACGAGAAAGCATTGATGCCACTTTCGCATCTCAAACTTTCTGCCTGTGACGGAGCAGGGCATGGCATGGCTCGAGGACTAGGAAGTGAAGGGGTCACATAAATACCTTGAAGGTTTCAGAGTGTCGGGATGCTCAGTATGTTAAAGATTGCGAGGTCTCAGGAATAGTTCCAAAGAAGGTCACGTGAATATGGCCGTTTGCACATATTCGAGTTATCTCGAAGGATGCGATGGATCTGTTTCTTCAACGATTAGTTTCTAAATTATAATTGGCATTATCGCCACCTACAGCATCAGTCCTTTACACTCCTACTGTAGTACTGTGCAGACATGAGCAGCTCGTTTCGAAGGTCCAGCAGAGACATTCTGACAATAGAAGAAGGTAGAAACTGTGCTCAATGCCAATATTGGGTATTACCCTGTAATTATTTTTGAGAATGCAGGCGTACATTGAAGTAAAGCACAAAATGGATGACACAATCAAGGAGCCAGAATCCGCCTTCGCGTAGATGTTTTCAGTAATAGCACATCCGCAGGGATTGAGAATCAGGCTAGCCATAGAAGGTTACGAAGTAGTGCCGCAGAAAATATGCGCCAAAAATAAAATGAATAAGTGTTGGAGCTGAAGCTGATTTCGAACTTTACTGTTCAGCGATGACTTCCTCTTTCCTCTTACTAGTCCCAGAAAGGGGCAAATTCACGTGATCAATCCAGATGCTTCAAACGTTTTATGAAACTTTTCCAAAGAGAGTTCCTTCGGCCACAGGAGTACGTAAATCCGAACTTCAGAGCTACCCGAAGCCGAGAAAAAAAAAGTGGGCGCACGAGGCTGAGACCCGGGAAAAGGTTTAGCAGACTCCTCTACCTCTGACGCTTCCCATTGGCCGAGCTCTCCCAGCATCGAACTTACCCGGCTCAGGAACCGAATCTCGGGAGGCGACGACAACCATCACTCATCCATCCACTTACACTCCGAGCAGGACTCCGTTGCTCGAGCACTTTTCTTTTCAACTTTTCTTTTCTGTTGAAGCTGTACATATTTTCCTTCGTCAGTGTCTCCAAAACCAAAAGACTTTGCCTCAGAAACCATTCTGCAAATCTTAACCCCGCCATCGAGATCCAACCCCAACCTCCTCCCCGACCATACCTCACCTCCTCAAAATGTCCACCCCCATCCGCCGCGGCCTCACGCAAATCCTCAAAAAGGAGCCCTCGGATATCGTCATCCTCTCCTCCCTCCGCACGCCCATAACCCGCAGCAACAAAGGACACCTCAAAGACACCTACCCCGAACAACTGCTTGCAACAGTCCTCCGTGCCACCCTCGCCGCGAACCCGAACCTCGACCCCGCTCTGATCCAAGATGTCGGCATCGGCGTCGTGTTGTCAGAACTTGGCGGCTCGAAGGCTGGGCGCATGGCGATGAACCATGTTGGCATTCCGACTACCACATCTTTCTATACCGTGAATCGGGCGTGCAGCTCAGGGTTGAGTGCGATCACGAATGTGAGCCATCAGATCGCGACAGGCATGATCGATATTGGGATCGGTGGGGGAATGGAGAGCATGACGCGGAACTATGGGAGTAGAGCTATACCTGTTGATTTGTGGCCTGCGTTGAAGGAGAGCGAAGTGAAGGATGCGAGGGATTGCATTATGCCGATGGGGCTGACGAGTGAGAATGTGGCGGAGAGGTATGGCGTTAGTCGTGCGGATCAGGATGCATTTGCTGTCATGAGCCATCAACGCGCTGCTAAAGCGCAAGCGGAAGGACTGTTTGATAAGGAGATCGTGCCGGTGGAAACGACGTTCCAGGAGGTGGATAGGAAGGGGCAGAAGGTGGGGGAGGAGAGGGAGGTTACGGTGACGAAGGACGATGGGATTAGGACGACTGCTAGTATTGAGGGAATGCAGAAGCTGAAGCCGGCGTTTAAGGAGAATGGGACATCAACTGCCGGGAACTCGAGCCAGATTTCGGATGGTGCTGCTGCGACGTTGTTGATGAGGAGGAGTACAGCGAATGAGCTTGGCTTGACGTCTTCGATCATTGGGAAGTGGGCGGGGACACAAGTGGCGGGATGCAAGCCGGATGAGATGGGAATAGGGCCTGCGATTGCCATTCCCAAGCTGCTGGAATACACCGGTTTGAAAACGGAGGATGTTGGATTGTGGGAGATCAACGAGGCGTTTGCAAGTCAAGCTATTTACTGTTTGAGGCAGCTCGGCCTAGAAAAGCAGCTCGAGGAAGGACGGGTAAATCCCAAGGGTGGTGCTATTGCGCTGGGACATCCTCTTGGCGCGACTGGGGCGAGGATGTTGGCTGGATTGTTGCCGGAGATGGAAAGACAGGGGCTACAGACTGGAGTTGTCAGCATGTGTATAGGAACCGGCATGGGCATGGCTGGGCTGTTCGTTAGAGAATGATGTATATAGAGGAGCCGAAACAATGAAAAAGTTACTTGTAGGTCGTGCTCCACTTGAAGTATTTAGTAGGAACATCTGGGAATTATTCGAAGTACTCGAGGACTGTAGTTGTCTTGGGGGGTTCTCTTGCAATGTAGGAGTCTGCTTGGGACAATCTCGTTGGAGAATTCTTTCAGAACATTTCGTCCTGAAAGTTTGGCTGCCTTGGATTTCCCTCTCAAACTGTACGAGTTTGCTTGGAATATTCTCGTCGGGTGACTTCTTTGAGGTCTTTACGCTCTCTGTCTGTTCCATTGTACGAGTTGGCTTGGGACCAGTGGCTTGCTGGTTCTCGAATATTTGCCACAATTCAAGGCAGTCCAGATAATCGAGCGAGTTGTGCTCCGCGGACCCCTAAGTGAGAGACTTGTGAATTTGACCAATTGAGCTGGATCTTGAGCAGCTCCAGTAAGTTTTGCTTTGGTGGTGAAATCTTGCTCTTATTGCTCAAGGATCACGGTGTTTAGTTCGCTGTTGACACTCACTAAAAGGTCTGAAGGTCAGCTCTCATGCTCAGAAACTGGTGTACTGATGCACAAGGGGTTCATTCCTGGTCGCTCATAGTAGTAGTAGTAGTAGTAGTAGTAGTAGTAGTAGTAGTATTGATTTACGTCCAGGGCTATGGTTGGCCGCGACCTCCCGAAGGGTATTGGGACGTGCTAAGCTAAGGATTTAATACAAAGTCCTGCCAAGAGGAGATGCCAAAACCACAAGGGGGAAAAGACTTCCCTTCTCCTGACAGCCCCGGATCCCTTATTCCGCGGTGTTTCAGTGCCCTTGTAAACCTCAGAAAGCAGTTCATACTGCAATAGCGTATAGCCATAAGGCCTTGCGAAGGCTAACCTTCCCCGACAGATGGGATGCCGCCCCTTTTGTGTGCCTATCCGTAAAGCGTATTCCCAAGCCCTTTAGAGCACGAATCCAGGTGACCCAACGCTAGTTAAAGGCCTCCTTGACAACTCGTGCAATAGAGCAAGGGGCTCGTTTTTCCACGGCAGCGTGTAGGCGCGTGCAAAGGCACGATATCGACCTCCTCTCCTCTCCTTCCTCCTCCTCCTCCTCCCTCCTGCCCTCCCACTCCCTCCCTTCCCTCCTATACTCCAAGAGCATGAAAGCCCTTGGTTTCCAGCCTGCCCTGCGAGGAAGTGCTGAATCGTCGCAGGCCCTGGTCGCTCATGAACATCTTGCAACCTCGATATACTGCTTCATCAACGAAACTTACGAAGGGTTCTCGGAACCCAAGACATCTTTTTTGGATTCAACGGAAGAGGTTCTTGCTGGGTCCGGGGACGCGTGCCCATCTCGTTGGAGACTTCATTCCGACCTTTGTGTTCTCTGGCTCTCACTTTATGACAATTTATTTTGGAAACGTCTCCTCGTAGGCTTTTGTCACAATCTTTGTGACTCTCTGCTTCTTGCATTTACGAGACTGGCTTGGAAATTCTCGTTGGAGACTTTCTCTTCTGACCTGTGAGTCTGCCATCTCATTGGAGAAATCCTTCTACTCTTCCAAGTCCAGACCACCCCGCTTTCTTTCCGTCTTTTGATAAGGGGGTAGGTCACGTGGAGGCGCGGTTACCGAAGCATCAACAGTGGCAATGGAAAACTGCGGTATAAAATCCATTTCTTCGATCTCTGCTTCTTCTCACAACAACAACAACAACAACAACCACCACCGACCGCGAGAACCACAACTCATCGTCACGTTCTTCCAGATTTCGCTACTCATTGGGCTTCTGCTGTCTCGACTAAAGTAAGTGCGCTGAGCGGTTACTTACTTACGTTTCCTTCTAGACTCTTGCCTACGTTTCCACACAACTGATATACGTCCCTCAACGCATCTTCAGTGCAGGGAGACCCGAAAATGGCGACCCGGGGCAAGTACGATCTATATGTACATGGCGAACCTAACCACCCGCACGCTAACAGGTATGTTGAATCACAAGCCTGTTCTTCGCGGTCCAGATTGCTGATTCCTCAAGGGATTTGGGCGGCAACTTCGTACTGTTTTATGTGGGTGAAGATGAGGACGAGGCTTCGGTTCACGAGAAGAAGCTCCGCGAGCACTCCCAGCTGTTTGACAATGCCTTCAAGCTTCCCCGCAGCGAACTCCTCCCATTTCTCCAGCACCACCTTGGGGAGAGGGTTTCTTTGAGCCAGTACACTGGAGCAATACGCCTGAAACATTTTCACTTCCGCACCAAGGATATGAACACCCTTATCGAGTGGTTGTACTGTTCTTCTCTACCGATGGCTATGAAGTTCAAGGACTTTTGTTGCCTCTACTACCTCGCTTCGAAGTTTCGGATGCACAAACTGTTGAGCGAGCTCATGGACTACATTAAAACACTACACCTTGACTCTGGCAAGGTCTTTGAACCCACTCAGATCAGCCACATCTTCAAGAATCGTGACGCTGGCGGTGGACAACTTTGGGAGTACTGCGCGAAGCAGACAATTGGCTGCCTGGCTTGGGGAAAGGAGAGAAGTTCGTGGGTCTCGGAATTCAAGGAAGTCTGCAGAGTCAACCTTGACCTGGGACCAGCATTGTTTCAGGTACTGCTCGCTTCAGGCAAATCCATCTACAAGGAACAGCATGGCAAAGCATGCTGCGCTCGCTCTTCTGAGGCTAAGACAAAGAAAAGCATGGAAGGTGAGTTGTCCGATGTTGAGGAGTCTGAGGCCAAGAAGTTGAGAAAGGTCTGGCCGAAGAAGAGCGCACCCAGAAGATCAATCGACAAGAAGGACCGGTACAGTGGGCAGCGGCGGGTCGCCAATTCGGTGTTGGAGGCCAACGAGATCGCCAGGCGCCTGGTTGAAGATGGTGGCATTGCATAATTGTTCGACTTTGACTGGGGACAATATGACTTTCAAATTCGGTGGTTGAGCGATCTCAGGTAGTTTCTTCTCTTCACATGGCAATTGGAGGACTCTCTTTTCAATTAACCCATGAATTCTGACTTGTGAATGTGCCTTATTAAGATTTCCCCTCTTAATCATTTTCCAATCTCCGCCCTGTTCCAATTTCTTGAGGCTGAAGTTGCCTCAACTCCCACCTAGATATTTGAGAACAGCAGGATTCCAATGTCCCCTCTGAACATGGAACACTTACGAGGAGTACCGTTTCAATGTCCCAGCTAGTAATTGCCCCGTCAACAACTAAGCCATTGAACACTACTCAGTCAATTTAGGTAGAATTTGCTAATGGTTTGCTGCTCATTTGTGAGATTTCGAGTGCAGCACGTCGCGCTGCTGCTGGAGAACTTACTATATGCAAAAATACCGGTTGATCTGCAGTGTCTCCTGTACTGCGAATCCTGAGGGAAGCAGAACTCTGAGTTGGTTAAATGAAGACGAAGACTGGGAAAGCTCATGGCCAACTTCAAGCTTAAGGGAGCTGATAGCATGAGGAGCTGATAGCATGAGGAGCTGATAGCATGAGGAGCTGATAGCATGAGGAGCTGATAGCATGAGGAGCTGATAGCATGAGGAGCTCGAGAGTTGTTCTTTCCATCATTTTGTGGGAAGCAATCCCCTTTTGAGTTATATGTACCTCACCAACCACCCTCAATTTATCCATGTCAGAAATTCTGTCTCCTTAGATAGGGGTTGACACGGGGAGTGACATTCACGTGACTCGCGTGAGGAACGTGCGTCGTCACGATTCCTTCGACGCGTGAGCCTCACCATTCTTCAACTCTCCTTTGCATGGAGCCAATTGCCTTCGTACCACCCTGTCTCCTCTTGGCACAGATCGCCATCATTCAAACCAACTTCGAGTTGCACTTTGCGTCGTCCTTGAGCTGACCGGAATCACGACTATACCCCGATGTGATGGGGAGAGACCTCGAGTGGCTCGACGAGCGGTAGGTCTCAGACCTCCACCTTTAAAGAAGCTAGAAGACTGATAATTCAGTAGCCGGGGGCGAAAGCTGACCTTCCGATTTAAAGGACGCGATTCACGACAGATCAGCCAGTTTTGGATTAACCGTACATTGATGATGTCCTGCTCCAAGGTTGTCCGGGAGGCATGCGAGAAAGACCCCAAGTTGAGAGATTTCAACGGCCTCGATGTGGATGGTATTGCCGGTATCTTCCAAACCATTGTCAACTTCGTTCACGACGACATTCTGCCAATGGGCCCTGGAGGACACGTGGAATGCTTGAGCAAGGAAGCACAGATTTACATGCAGCAAATGCTGAGGCTTTATCGATTTGCCATTCAGTACGAGATGGAAGACCTGGCAGACCGAACAATAGATGAAATACAGGCGCACGAGCGCAGGTGCAATGGGTATCCGGTCATGACGTGGATCCAGAGTGTGTACAATTTCAGCGAGTCAGGATCAAAGGCCAGACTGTATTGTGCTGCATCCTTGTATCATTCCGGGATCAGAATTATGAGGGGTCTTACGCACGGTTGTCGTGCGTCTGAGTTCATGTCCTTGAAAAATTCTTTCCCGGAGGCCGTGGACGACATCCAGCGCATGGAGAAAGTGTTTCAACGAGAGAGCACCTGGTCAAACGGAAACATGGTTGACCATCGAGATCAGGAAGCATTTGGGGCGTGCATCTTTCATCTTCACCCGAAGGGCAAGATCTGCCACGCAACCAGCCCTGTGGTTCGGGAGGCCAGGACTTTTGGGATGGGCTGGGGAAATTGGGACGAGCCAAGGACCAGTGTGAAGCTCCCGATTGCATACCCTATCGATTACGGCTCAGGTACGGAGAGTGACGATGATCCGGTCGATGAACAATGGGACGCAATCTGTGGCCTGGGTAGTACTGAAGATTCTGCGGTTGAGATGAACCTGAGGCGGATCAGTCCTGGCTTGGGAAATATTGTAGAGCCTGCGGTTGAGACGAACACGAAGCATACCGGTCCTGATTTCGAAGACTCTGGATTGTCTGTGGAGGAGGAGGAGGAAACGAATACTGCTCCGATTGCACCACGGTCAACTGCGTTGTCACCACTTCCAACCGGCGTCGTCGGCGATGACGAAAGTGAGAAGAAGAAAGAGAAGTACAAGCCCACATCTCCCGTCAAAATGGAAGGAATCCCGATACCAAATCCATGGGGGTTTCATCTTCCCCCCAGGGACGAAGCTGAATCAGATCGCTTGTATGGATGGCTCTCGCTTTCTCCGCGAACCCAGGCTGAAGCCGACGACTGCCACAACTTCCTGAAACAAGTTTGCATGAAAGGGCTAGATCGACATTTTCCCAAGGGGCCAACTCAAAAGGTCGAGAAGAAGAGTACTCCAACTGAACCGAAGCCGTTGCCCAAACCCGTCCTGAAAACAACTCCAAAGGTTTTCCAGCCAGTTGCACAGCCCGAGTCTGCCAAAACCAATATCTTCACCTGTAAGACTTGCGATCGGAAATTCCAACGGAAGGAAGATTTCTTGAAACATGTAGCACAAAAGGACAAGCTCTGCGTTTATCGAAAGAGATCTCGTGCGTACAGCCGAGACGAGAGCGGGTTGACACCTCTTCAGCGTGTGCGCAAGAGGCCGAAATTGGATTATAAGCATGGGGACTGAAGTATTAGTTGATAGGCGGGAAGCGTTCATTTGTTGGATTTTCTAAGTCTCGTCCCGGGGATGCGGCTTGGGGATGGGGAAGGAGGCGATGTTTGTTTTCTGGGAGGTCCGTTTGCAATTTGAGATACCCATACTGTTTGCTGGCGCCGAATCCACTACGGCGTATTCTGCGGTATCTGGGACATTCGATTTTACTCTGCTTTACTTTTATGTTATGCTGCGGCAGAAATTCGAGGAGATCGCAAGTCTGGATATGGTTTCCCAGCGTGTTGAACAATCCAGCATTCCAATTCGATCAGAGTCGCCTCAGAACTGTCACCAGTTTAGGCTTGTAATTTGTTCCATTCCGTTTCCTCGGAAATTCAGGGTGATTGAGGGCCCACCGGCTGGGGATCTTAAAGATGGCGCGAGGATGAAGCAGGGCTTTAAAGGACACCGGGTCGAATATTGAGTGCTGAAGGAGATAAAAAGTAGAAGATTAGCTCATGATCCTCTATGGAATACAAACAAATCAAGCCTCTCACATCTCATTGTGAATGTATCAAAATATACTCTCTCTCATTGTCCACGAGCTCCCGGAGCATTCAAAAGTCCTCGTGCGATTCTTGGCGCACCATGTGACACGCGCAAGTGGTCCGTGCACATCGCGACCTCTTCGACGCGACCTCTCAAGTATGCAACCTTCTGCTGATTGAACCTCGACTAGGGACCACTGTCTCGGCAAAGTCTCGGAAAATGGCGAATTCGTCGAAGCTCTTCCGTTTCCTGTCCGATTTCTGTGCCGATGCCTTAGTGGTAAACCGAAGTCTCCTATGCCAGCACTCTCGGTTTGTCAACAGACTCTGTGAACAGGCCCCAACCACAACCTCACTCAAGCTACCGCGAGACTTTCGCAACGCGTACCAGGCTATCATCGACTACCTAGAGGATGAAGTCGTTCCAAATGGACCTGCTTGCGTGGGGAGTAGTCCCGAGGCAAAGCAGTACACCGAGCTCATGCTGTTGCTCTGCTACTTCGCAGAGTTCTACGAAATGGACGGCCTGGCGAACCGTTCTATCGATGCCTTACGATTCCATGAATATCAATGCAGTCGCAGCCTCGTAGGTCGGCATTTTGGAGAGGTCTACACAAATACGAGAAGGGGAAGCAAGCTTCGTCACTACTGCGCTCTTTCGACTGCTTGTTTTCTCTTCAATGGGGAGGGTACAGCTGAGGAGCAGGGCGCAGTCAATATTCTGTTCAGGGGGATACCTGGATTCGAGGATGATGTTCGTGCAGCCCACACAACAGTGAGGGAGAAGACTCGAGTCCCGAGACCTGACTGCGATTCGCCTGAGAATCATTTTGGGCTTTGCGAGTTCCACAACCATCGTATGGGAGATACAAGCGTAACAAGTTCTGCTGAGGGTTGTACACTCTACATTGGAAACCTGCCATACGCAACGACCGAAGAAGATTTGAGAACTTTTCTCGAAGGCTACCAAGTGTAAGAGTGTTGTTATCTTTCCTTTTCCTGGCTCCCGAAACCTTGATGGGTTTAGTCGCGCCTCAGATCAGCTGCTGAAAACACCTCTACAGTACATCCACTACCTTTCCAAAGAAGCCGCGTAGATTTGCCTTCGCCCATCTCTCCACCCCAAGGGAGGCTGAGCGTGCAATCGCTGAACTCTCCGGGAGGACAGCTTTTGGTCACAAGATCAGAGTTCAGCTTGCTCGCAAGCCTACCCGAGATAGCGAGACCCAAGATGGTACCGTCGACGGGTATAAAGTTCTTTCTGGGGCCAATGGTGCTACGAGAATGGCGTTTGTTAGCGTACAAAGTGGTTTGGCTGCCTCAACAAGTGTAACTACGCAATCGAGTCGGGGTTCAAAAAATTCTGGTACCGGTTTTGACGAATCGCTAGATGGGGGTTTCAACGAGAGAGATGCGGAAGAGGAGTTAATGTCATTCGACCGACCAGAGGAGAACAGCGACGGTGTTGTCGACGAGGCGGATGAGATGGAAATGTCATTCAATCCGCGAGATAGTCACAATCGAAGTGATAAAGCTGTGGACGACTCCGGATTTGCGGATGAGGAAGCAGCCCCACGTGTCATCTTGACTGTTCCTCCAAATCCTCGTTCTTCACCGCCCCCTGGTTATACTTGGGCTCTCAGACCTGAATGGTTCCTGGCGCCAACAGACCACCCACCGATTGATCAAGTCCAACAGTCCTACTCCCACATCCGATTTGAAGATGGAGATGGTAGTCAGTGCGAGCCAGCCGGCATTGCAAACATGGGTGCCTCCAACTATCAAGAATATATTGACGGATGGGTTCAGCCCTCCACGGACTTTGGAAACATACCTCCTCGTGCCCCCGCCCCATCTCCGCCAGCACATGTCAAAGACGAAGATCCATTCCAAAAAGAGTTGCAGGGAGTTGATCTTTATAGCGCCGATGACCATCCTGGACCTTCTACGAGCCAGCAGCCACAAGTTAAGGTCGAAGGTCAAGAAGCTGTGGATATGCCACCTATGCCGAGACATTCCCATCTAACAAGGGCGCGGGTGCGCAGTCAAAGATTTCCTTTCAAATGCTTTACCTGCAATAACCAGTTCGAACGCAATCAGCAACTCAGGAACCATCTCATAAAACACCCACGCCACCGCGGTGATGACATCCGACCACACCCAACCCAGAGGCAAAGTACCAAAAGTATCAAGAAGAATGCCAGAAGGGCAAGGGTTCAAAAGTAACTGGGTCTACCAGGGAGCTGTGGGACAATCAATCGAAGGAGGTCTATTCTCCCGAAGCGGAAGTGATCATTTGTAATTATCATTGGCGGATGGCTCTGGAGTTGCATTACCTAAAGACCAGATTCAGGTCACTGTATATTAATGTGTAGAAGTTCGTTCGAGCACCTCGCTAGACTTCATCGTGACAAGTCCTTACATTACGATTATCTCCTCATACAGTCTCCATCCCCCCAAATCCCTGCATCTCCGATTCGCATTTCTCCTTAAACTTGGAATTACTTGCTTATAGTTTACAACTTGCCCCTCGCCAAATTCAAAACCATCTCCCTTCCAGTGACCCAAGTCGTTCTCCACAGCGTCGGAATATCCAAAGTACTCGTCAGACCGTCCGCAAACCCAAAGCCCAACATGGGGGGAATCCATCCCCGCGCATACTCAAGCGCAAAGCAAGCACTGTCCATCTTGTACTGCTTCACGGTACCACGATGAAGATGGTGCACACTACCTTGCGGGTAGACTTCTGGCTCATAGGATCCCGGAGTATAGGCGAGCTGAGTGCCTTTCAGGATGTGGAAGTAGTCGTCGGCGGTATGACGGCCTGTGTGGCCTTCGGTGCCCACTGCGGTGCCTGTGAAAGTTTCAGTAACACATTCCCCAGAAGCGGGAAAGGAGGACAAACCGAAGATAATAAGGTATTCTGTGATGCCTGGGGGTCATGTCAACAAATTTGATCGAAGCTGGTATGTCATGTGACCACGCGGCATGGATCTGAGAGCTTATGTCTGCTGGATGCACTGATGTGAGAACTTACTGGCATGGATAATGTACATCCCTCCCATGGCACCTCCAGCATTATTGAAGATCCACTCCTGATCAAGATTGATATACCCTCCAGGGAACTTGTCGCTTAACTCTTTGGTAATGTAGGCCACGACAGCGGTGGTGTCGTTCCCATGAGCCCCAATGGCACGCAACGAGAGATCATGAAGGTCCGTAGGATTAAGGATGTAGAACCAGTCGAGGTGTGAGTCCAAGAACCTGTACAGAACGGTCAAGAGCGCGAAGACGACCGCGAAGATAGTTGCTTTCCGAGCGAAGGACTGTGGTGTGACAACAGAAGCTGAAGACGATTCTTTCGGTGGCATGATTGCGACCAATTGAAGGAAAGGTAATTAAGGAGAGTGAGAAGTTGACGCGAAGGAGAAAGGAGGTTGTTGATAAAACACGATTTTCGACTGTTTGAAAGCTCGGTCAGCGACCTTCTCCAGCTTCCGGCGCTAGAATGTTTCTGGCTTAGGCCGATCAAACTCGTGGCTCGGTACTCGCTAAAATTTCAGGGGCAAGTCTCACCGACTTCATCCCGCTTCTTTGCCACATCTTTCCTTTGTCACCAGCTTTTCGGGATTTCGCGTACTTCTCTCTGCTCAATTGATATCTCGACTCGGTACTACTTTCAGTATATATTCTCGTCATCGTCTTTGTCGGTCTGGAAATCCCAACGGCGCTCAACCCGTCGTCCAGGCTGGAGGTTATTTTGCTCAAGAGAGCAGCATCCTTTGGTTTGAGTGTTCGATACTGTTTGGCTTCGAAATTCCGGTCTCCTTTTCCATGTTGAAATGGACACATCGAAGCGGCCTCCTGATAAGTTCAACCGCAACAATGGAGCAGAGAGGATAGCTCTGAGAAGGATGTTGTCAATCGCGTGTGACCACCGGGATGCAGCTGTAAACGGAGAAGCTAGAGCCAAGGCGGAAGGGCTTCAGGTCGGTCATGAGCCTCGGCCGACTGCCGAAGTTGGTCCATGTAGGAATACGAATCCCATAGACTTGACGACATCACCCAGCAGCTCCTTTTCGAGATCATCGTCTAGCTCCTCGAAGTCCATGTCAAAGAGAAGAGGGACTGGGTCATCTGGAGGCTCCAATGGCTCACAATGTTCGGAGCGTGCAAGAAGATCCTTGACGGTATCACTGCATGGCTTCTCGGACTCAGGATCGGATTGCAGAAGAGGAAGGGGGTCATCTGGAGACTCTGAGAGCGCGTACGTGAGGGAGTGTGCACCAGAAATGATGTGGCTCGATGACGAGGAGGGTCTGGAGGCAATGGCATACGAAGCACGACCCAAAGCCCAAGCTGGGAGGAATCGCACTCTTGAGAGCATTGCAATCATGGAAGATGGCCGAGGTCAAGCAAAGCACTCCGTACAGCCAACCATGACAACAAGCAATCAGGTGATGCGACCACTCGTTGGTGTGGTAATCCATGCTCAAGTAAGTGCAGTGCATTGAAAGTTCCACACTCGTCCCTCTGTCACATGAGATCCGTGCTGATATTCACAGACAAGGAAAACTCTTCATAACGAAGGAAAAAGCTTTGGCCCAAGATTTGACGAAAAGGGGAGATACAAAGCGAAAGAGCAGCCAAGACCTTCTTCGTCTAAGCTCCCCGTGAATTTGGACGACCTCCCCACCATGAACTTCAGCGAGACTAATCTCGATCCCTTCTTCGGTCTCACTATCCCGAGGGAATCGCCTCCAAGAGAAGCTGGTCATACAAAACGGACAGATCATGGAAAATGAGAGCAATTCTGGCGACAGCGTTGCCAAAGCACACTGCAAAAAGAATCAATGAGTCTCTTCGAAGATACACTCCTCGCCGAAAATATCTGGTCTTCCCTCGGACCAATTTCATTGGCCCAAGACATGTTTCTTTGTTGCGCCTGCTTCATTCCCACAATATATCCCTTTGTGCACTGTTTCTTCAAGAAGTGGGGAATTACTTGATACAACAGGTAGTTCGATATCGGAATCTCGACGTGAGCATTTTCCATCTCCGTCTTTGGACTGAGCCGATGCTGCTATAGCCTGAGTTGTGGGTGAGCCAGGCTGCTCAGTGAGTCCAAGGAGGTGAACCATGGTGAGTGGACAGGGGCCTGGCCTGGCTGGACTCCTCGGCTACGACTGCCGTAGGTTAAAATTGGAAAAAGTAAGTCAGTACGGAAACCTCGCGATTACTTGCGGGCCTACTGCTTTAAAATCCAGCAGCTCGGCATTCCGCCGTGTCGGCGGTAGTTTCCAGAGAACCCAGAACATAAAACTTGCAATTGACAGGAATCTAAGGCCTACTGCTTTGAAATCCAGCAGCTCGGCATACCGCCGTGTCGGCGGTAGTTCCCAGAGAACCCAGAACGTAAAAACTTGCAATCGTGCCCATCTGCAAAACGTCTTTTTTATCACGTCAAATAAGTTCTAAATGGCGCGCCGTTCAGTCCTCATTACCGGTTGCAGTCAAGGCGGTGCCGGCGAAGCTCTTGCACGGATATTCGTCCAAAATGGGTTTAAAGTGTTTGCAACGGCAAGGAGTCTTCGCAGAATCCAACATCTGGAAGCCGAGGGTATTGATATTCTAGAGTTGAATGTTTTGGACAGTATTTCCCTTGAGAAGACTACTGAAACTGTCTCTAGCCTGACTGGTGGAACGCTTGATATTCTCATCAACAATGCAGGAGCAGGCATGTTCATATGAAAGCCGAAGCACTAGGTAAGATCGCTGATACGATATAGGTTACATGACACCACTGCTAGACATGGACCTCGGCAAAGCTTGCAAGCTCTTCGATGTGAACGTCTTCGCACCAATCAGCGTCGTCAAAGCTTTCATTCCACTTCTCATTGCCAACAAAGGGACGATCATTAACATCGGCTCCTATGTCGATGCCCTGCCTGTGCCCTGGCAGGGGGTCTACAATGCTTCCAAAGCTGCGCTTAGATCGCTTACTGACAACTTGCGGCTGGAGCTACGCCCATTTAACGTTGATGTGGTCTATGTTCGTCCTTTTCCCTTTTCTTCTTCTTTTCTTCTTCTTTTTTTTATTACTCGCATGTGAGAGTCCCCTCCTAATTCCTGTGTAGATTGCCGCTGGAGGAATCAGGAGTAAATTCCTCGACAACTTGGAGACTATTCATCTGAACAAAACGTCGCTCTACTACCCTGGGAGAGAAATACTTGAGCCAAAGATGAATTACGAAAATGAGAAAAGCGCACCCAGCAGCATGCTGCCGATGGAATTCGCCCAGGAAGTGTACGAAGCTGCAATTGCCATGGTTTCTCTCCACAGAGTATATGCTGGTACACAAGTGCCGGCAGCTCTGAGTACTATGCCTCCCTCTGAGAGGGTATGTATTTCGTCCACGTTTAATATTCAAATTTTCTGATGTAGTTTTAGGACCAGCTTCTCGCCGGCAGAGCCGGAATAGCAGCATTTGCAGAGCTAATACAGAAACGTGATACATGATCTGGCATAACGTTGTCCTTATCTTCTAGATAATCTCTTATGAATGTGTTATCTCATTGACACGCAATTTCAAATGCCTTTCACATGCGTTGTGTTTTTATCAAGTGCAACCCCCAGAAATGACTTCGTTTGGTGTACGTCGAGCACTTCCAGGTCCTGCCAGATTCTTATACAATGTCTGTGACGGCGGGATCAATGCAATGGTCGAAGGCTCAAAGTTCAATGAATCTCATGTATTGAAAATACTAAGCTAGAGAGCAAAGAAGGGAGGAATGCCTCGACCTTTAGTAGTGCTTTGCCCATACCTTCTGGCTTAGTTCCCTGTTTTGTTGGAACTGAGTGTACGCTGGTACACTGTAGTTTATATACCAGGTGTATATATAGAGTGCTTACCCCGCGTGAGCTGAAAAATCAAGTCGTCAACCTCCAAAACATTGCAACATGTTTCAGACCTGTTTCCTAATTCCTATTCCCAGCAGATCACGCAGTTATGCCAGCCGTCACACAGACTGTGGACCCCGCTTGATTGCGCGAACAAAAAAAACTGCATTAAATTCTCTATAAAAAAGTCGTAATAGCTAGCTAAGGCGCAGGAAACATGAAGCATTGAAATAGATAAAAAAGATCAAACACGCAAAAAGAACTCTGGGGCCTACCCTGCGAGAAAGAAGAAACCACATACCATTTGGCACCTTACCCGAAGGCTTCGGTTGGTTTTCTATCTTTTTAGTTTAACCTGAAGAGTGGAGGGGTAAACTTATTGCCATTAAATCACAAGAACCCACTAATGTCGCCGAAACCCCTTATTTTGATATATACGGTCCGACTCTGGGAGTCGTAGAATCGGACCGGGATGCAGAAAGGGGCGTAAGCGAGAACCTCACGATGGACTTTCACAGCAAGTGCTGCTTTTTAACATGTAGAAGAATTGCGGGATGCTTTGATGTCGGCTTGTTGAAAATTTAGAAAACCCGACTGGAAAATATCCGATTTACAGCTTGCAACTGATTGAAGCACGAGACACTCACAGGCTATTCCAAAAGCACCTGACGAGCAAACATTTGAATCAAACTTCGGACATCAGTGCCTCTGATGTTGAGCTAGAAGGAGAAAGTCTCCTCCGGCCCCTTCTAGATGGCAAAGAGATCTCGACGAGGCCTCTGAGTAGGGATCTGCCATAATCAACGACGCCGAAGACACCCTTCTTCTCTGTCAACAAGACCTCGAAACAGCAACAAGCGACATCGAAAGATTTCTTGCAAGTGGAGACAATTAGCTTTGCAAATCAAAGCTTACACCCTCACCTATTCTGTGGCTTTCCAAGCTACGCCGAGTCTAGTTCTTATTGAGCTACAGGGCGATGAAAAGTGCATCAGTCTTCGCTCGTCGAGGTAGCCCGCCGTGGGATGAGGAATAAAAACGAGCGAAATAACCAAAGGACGATCAGGAAAGCTCTGAACTGCGGGGACTTGTCTCTGATGATCTGGCGGTTGCAGCAGCATTGTTCATTCACAGACGGCCCACGCAAGACTTGCGTCGACTTGGCCGCTCGGAGCCTGCCCTTTGAGCACATTTCGAGCATCCATGCCTTCAAGTTTGCAATGAGGCAATGCCAGGCGGGATAGAGAATGATGAAGACGTGCCTGTCAACTAGTCTTGTGAACGCTTGTCAGAAAAAGACTTGATGGAGAAAGCTTTCGAACTTCTGATTTACATCGCCCTTAGGAGGTAGGACACTGGACATTTTGGGGAATGGCGAGTGGGACTCAACTTAGTCTGATGAATTACAGAAATAGCATGGATGGACTGATGGGAGGATTGATTGGCTAAAATTGTAATGCGCGCCGTGAATTCATGATGCTGCTTGAAACACAACTCGGCCAAGGAGTTGCTAGCTGCCAACATTGGACAGAAAGCAGAGCACTTCAAAATCACAAGAATTACGCAGGTACAAGCATACCATTTATGTTCATTTATTGTTCGTGGCCTTCTTAGAGATAGCAATCCGGCTACTCTGATGCAAGTATGAGGAAGCCCGCCCACCTAAGACGTACACCATTCATCATCACCCCCCTAGCCACGATATACGAATTGAATGTGTGTAATAGCGCGCAATTACTTTAGACGCAAAGCAAAAAGCCACCGCAGAGAAAAGAAAGAGAATTCCGAGGTCACGGCTTGGTACCAACGCCGCTCTTCCGCTCAGAGCCTTTCCTTTGCTCGTTCTCAGCGTTGAACTTCTTCCATAGCGCAGCGATATCCTCTTTCGAATCGTTCTTTTCGGTAATCAGGTTCTTCAGCCACTTGTTTTCTGTCTCCAATTGGTTTATCCGTCCTTCCAACGCAGCAACCTTATCACTCATTTCCTTCGCAGACCGCTCCAGAGCTTGTTCTCTTTGCTTCTTCTTGACCCGGAATCGTGCTGAGGCAGCAGTGTTGCGTCGTCGCTTGTCTTCTTCAGCAGCAAGGCGGGATGCTTCTTCGAAGGATTGTGCATCGGATGGGGATGTCGAAATAGAATCCGACTTGCGCTTTGTGCTAGACGGGGCTACTACAGATGTTGGAGATCCCGCAGCAGGTGACGATGCGTAGAGAGCTTGGCCGGGTTGGAGGGGAGTGTGGCCGGGGTCGGTGAAGCTGCCGGGGAATTGGTTGAAGTCATTGAACGGGAAATCGCCTGTGAGAGCCATCGAGTGTCAGCATGGTCGTTCCACAGTGTTCCACACAACGGTTAGAAGCGGAGAGGATAATGTTGACAAATTTGTCAAACATATATCGCTGAGCCTCGAGTTGATGCGCAGCCCAGGAAGTCATGTGATAAGGCGTCATCCTGGACTTGACATTGCGTGATAGGCCTGTAGGCCTGTCTGAATATCCAACAGAGGACTGCTGCAGCAACTGCGAGCACCGCGCGCAGCACAGCCAGTCATTGTGAGAATGACTCGGGCATTGGCCCAGGCGCTATCTGCGGGGTTGTGCAGCAGAAAGTCGGCCAGCTGAGCGATGACCTCTCCTCAAGGGTGGAGGAGCAGAAGCAGATACTGAGGCCAGAGTCGGAGGAAGAAACAGCGGACAGAAATCGCAGACAACAGCATCTTAAATGTAGACCCAACAGACATGTACTAACCTGAAGCAAAATCCAGTGCTTTCACATCAACGTCAAAGCTGTCCGTAGCGGGCGCCGGTTGACCATCCGCAAAGCCCCCAGCCTGCAAATCCACATCCTGTCCCAGATCAAAGTCGAAGAATTGTGTGTTCGTGAAAAGCGCCAGATCATCATCCACAAAGCTGTCTTGGTTCGAGAGGTCCTGTGCCGTCGGGATCGCATTCAGGTTGGCGATGTACTCGCTGACGTTCGGACCCCGTCTGCCATTGTAGGTCATCTTGGAGAGAGGTTCACGATGTTCCGAGGCCGTCGTAGCCGTGTATTCCTTCGATAATCGGGAGCAGTGTCGTGTGCGAATCGCTGTTGGATGTTCGAGGCCGAGGTTCGAGGATGGAGAGATTCGAGGGGTGGGTGACTCTCGAAGGACAGACGAAGTTGACGGGCAAGGGCTGCGCGTGCGCTCGTCGAATGGCGGAGCAATGGCCGGCAGGAGAGTTACCCCGTGTTTTGCTGCTGGATCTCGGGAGGGGGCAGCGAGAGGGTTGTTGTGAGAAGAAGCAATTCGGATGGGTGGATTGTGGTGGTGGTGGTGGTGGTGGATGAAGGGCGTGCGCTGATTCTGCGCGCGGGCACCCCACTATCGCGGCCAGCACAATGACTAATTATTTTCGGCTGTTGCACGCGTGCAAAATCGAGAGGCGCGGTACAAAATACAGCGGCAGAGCAGATTTGGGCTTCTACTTTTTTGTAATCGAGGATATTCTCAAAGCTGTAGCTGTGTTTTCCTTTCAATCAGGGTAAGCTGCGCTGGTGGCAACATACAAAGAAACCCTCAGCGAAAATCTCTTTCCCAAGCCCAAGTCATGATGACGGAAGGCCCAAAGGAGATACCTCGGGTCCCAGGCTGTTGAGGTAATCATCCCGCTGCGCAATCGGCCACTCTCATCGGCCAATCAATTGGGGGCTGAGCGGCGCCCGTCGGGAATAATAGGATGCAATATAAAGACGCCCAGTCGGTCCGACATAACAACAAAATGAAAGAAAGTCCACAATAATACTAATTATTATAAATCGTATTAATCGAAATTACTGTATGTCTTATAGTAGTTAATTCCCCGTTCTCCGATTTTTAATATCTTTAATATTGCGGGAGTTATAAAGCACCTTGTTATTTTGAGACGATGTTACACGTGATTAAAACCAAAGACTTTCAGCACCCCACACCCCCTAGTACCAATTCTTAGAATTTGAGTTTTTAATATATATATAGTAAGCTTATAGAAGCTTAATGGGCCTCATAAGTCTAAGTTTAAATGCTATTTACTTGTGTACACGTGACTTTCCTAAAATATTTTCGCTCTTTACATGGTCAAAATAAAATCAAAGCATAAACTGTCCGTGTACTTCACAATTCTATTACTAGTTAAATACGATTCCTACTGAAAACGGGTTAATCCATGTTATTTGCCTGATTCTATTCTATAATAATTCCTGCTATAGCAAAAAAGTTATTATAGGCGTAAAAGGCGGACAGTTATGTCGGACCGACTATACAGGCTCTAGCAAGGTCGAAGGGCCTATTTTGTAGCCTGAAACACCTTCAAGTTTGATGTCTGGTAGGGAAATGATCAGATGTCACGTGTCGTAAGATTTCTTTCAACATCTTGTCTTTGCACTCCATAAGGGAAGTAGTGGCTGCAAGCATTCCCTCCCAACATATTACGCGCGGGGGCGTACTGCCGATAAGTGTTGCCTTCAGATTTAAAGAACCAGATTGATCATCGACCAAGGAGACTCGCAACTTCCCCACTACCTCCGAACATAGCCCACTTCTCATTCACACGACTTACAACACCAGCGATTCACCAGTACCAAGCGCACTCCTCAAAAACCCCCTGTCCAAAACATCAACACAGTAAGCACCCTCCTCCGTCGTAGCCCTCCAGCCCTCCCAAGCATCATCAACCTGGTTCACCAAGTCCATTGTCTGCAACCTATCATTGGGATGCGGCCTCAACATCTCAGCAACAATGTGTCGAATCGGATCACTAAACCCTTTGTCATTCATCCTCGAGATCTGCCATTCGTAATTGTAAAACCGAGGTGGCGGCATGCCGGTCATCATCGTGTAGACTGTTGCACCCAGGGCCCAAACTTCAGATGCTCGAGTCCATGAGTGTGTGTCTCTATAGATCTCCTGAGAAGAAGTAAGTCTCGGTCATTAAAATTAAATGACCAGACTTACTGGGGGCCAGTAAAACATCTTCTCCCTCGATGCCTCTTCCATCCTCTGCGTCGAAGCCACACGGCCTCCCACGCTCCCGCAAACCTTCCCCCATTGGAAGCCCCCAAGCTTACACTCGCCATACGTCTCCTCTCCCTTCGGTTTCTTGAACCAAATCTGACTAGGGCTGATATCTCTAATCAAAACAGTGTGCCAATCATCATCATGCCTGAGCCATTCTCCACGTATCCCCGCTGTTTCCTTGACTCCATGATGCAGCCAGAGCAGAGCTCGAGAGATGGTTTTCAGCACATGCCAACAGAGTGATTCTGGGAGAGAGAAGCGGTGGAAGTTTTGGGCGGCAAGGAGGTGCCATCCTACTTCGTCGGCAAAGCCTGGGTATGCTTCCGGTGTGGGCAAGAGGTAGGCTAAGCACCCGGCATCCATATCTTCCCAGACTGTAATGTCGCCGTAGGGACCTGCTTCGGTGGTGGGGCCTGAAAGAGTGGAAGTCCGGATGATGTCGACAAGGGAGATGACGTTTGGGTGGTTGAGAATCAGAGAAAGAGGGACGGCTGCGGTCGGTAGGATTGCTGATGCGAGTTTTGTGGTTGTGGTTTCCTTTTTGGCGTCTTTTGTTACCACATTCGGAATCTTGGAGGCGAGGAAGGATGCATTGTCCCTCGTGCGAATGACCTGGATGGAGGACGCGACGTGCTGAGCTTCGGATGGGTCCCGAAGGACATATCGAGGATGGATTGAAGACATTATCCCTGTAAATGAAATTCAAAGGATTTCTTTTGCTTGCGTAGAGAAGTGGTGAACTTTGGGTTTGTTATGGATATGAGAGGAACGTGGGAGAGATAGAAAATATGCAATGTCTCACCCCTGCCTGCAAAGCAGGAATGCCCACATCTTGAGAATCAAGGTACGCACGAAATGAGAAAAAATGTTTATTTGCAAGGAAGTAAGTCTTTGGATATCTTTCACTAGAAGATCTCTATATAAATGCTTTCGGGAGCAGAGTATCGGTCGAGGAAGATCATAAACATCAAGTCTTCCACTTGGTCGGCTTTCAGATTTTAACAGCATCTACCCATTTCTGCCCAGTCAACTTCTCGAATGCCTCTCTGTACTTCTCCGCCGTCTTATTCACGACCTCCTCAGGCATTTTGACACCTTGCTTCCCCTTTAAACCCTCACTTGTCAACCAATCCCTCAAATACTGTTTGTCGTAGCTCATCTGTTCTCTCCCAATCTGGTACTTGTCTGCCGGCCAGAATCGGCTCGAGTCTGGTGTCAGAACTTCATCAACCAAAACCACCTCATCGGACTCCTCATCTAACCCAAACTCGAACTTGGAGTCCGCAATTATGATGCCTCTTTCTGCTGCATAATCTCGTGCTGATGTGTAGAGTTTGATTGCGAGATCCTCTATCTTTTGCGCGTATTTTGGCCCAACGATTTTTGCAGCTTCTGCAATCGAAATGTTCTCGTCATTCTGCCCTGCTTCGGCCTTCGTACTTGGTGTATATATTGCACCTTGAGGGAAAGCTTCCGATTCTTTCAGGCCTGCCACGATTGGCATCTTGTGCACTGTTCCGCTGCGCTGATACTCTTTCCAAGCGGAACCTGTAATGTAGCCTCGAACGATTGCTTCAATTGGAAAGATTTTGAGGCGTCGAACTTGCATTGAGCGGTTCTGGAGTTTGGCGTGCTCGGACTCGCGGATCGAGGAGGGGAGGGAGAGGGTGAGGAAATGAGTTCTGAGGTCGGGAATCAATGTTGGGAGAAGTTTGAACCAGTGCGCAGACAGCAGCGTGAGGAGTTTGCCTTTTGATGGAACGCCCTGAAAATAGACGATTAGTCTGAACGATACTAATCGCAGGGCCACTCACATTATCCATAATAACATCGTACGCCGAGATACGATCCGAGGCCACAAAGAGGAGGGTTTTCGAGTCGACTTCATAGAGATCGCGGACCTTCCCCTCTGCGATCTTGGGGAGAGCCTCGAGGGAAGTTTTAGTGACAACTGTGTCTGGTTCTGCCATTGTGGGTCGCGATTGATCCCGACGATGTGGGTTGTGGAAGAAAGGGAGGAATGAGGGTTGAAAATTTGCCTTAGTTTCTCGGCTTCGTAGCCTCGTCTGGAGAATTCAGCCGGGTCAAGAGGGACCCCTTTTCCACTACAGTAATTGGCTGAGCAGCGCCCCTTCCCTTCCCTTCCCCTCCCCTCCCTTCCATTGCATGTCATTCCACACTGGAAAAACTAGTGTCACCGTCTGTTGTCGTTTTCCGTTGCAGGCTGCCTGGCCCTCAACCTCGCATCCCTTGGGCGCGCGTTGCAGCGGCTTCGGCCACGCAGAGAAAGCCATGATTGGCGCGGATAATTCTGGATAAATTCTGTTTCTGTGGGCCAGGCTTTGGAGTACGGAAAGCGGTAAGGACGTCATGTGCCAGCGAACCCTTTTAACCTACGACTTAAGGTTATGACTTATGACTCGGCACGCGCATGCTTCACCCCACCAAAAATCGCCTACATACCACGCCCCCTCCCCCCATACCCCCCCTCTCTTACCTATACTTAGAGAGAGAGAGAGAGAGAGAGAGAGAGAGTTAAACAGAGTAAATATTTTGAGTAGTAATAGAGGCTCAGGGAGAGGGGGCGTCGTGTGTGGGCGTGGGCGATTTTTGGTGGGGTGAGAACCCGAGTCATAAGTCATAAAAGTCGTAAGTGAAAAGTTCGCTGGCACATCTGATCCTTACGGCTTTCCGTATTTGGAGGGGGAGGGGGGTGGAGGGGCCATGAGGGAGGGGCAAGTGTGCCGAGCGACATTGCAGGTCAACAGATGTCAATGGTTTGCTTTCCCCAGGGAAACCCCTTTATTTAAATACGAGAAGGGGGACTTCTCGAGCTCATCAATCTTCCTCTCACCCTCGAAATCCCATTGCAAGTACACAATGGCCAAGACAGACAGCGTAACTTGCTCCTCCAGCCCTCCTGAAGACCCTATGATAGCTAAGCTCAATTTGTGCAGAACCTCTCCTTCATTCTCAACAAACCGCACGACGTCACTTTCGAAGAGAGACCGAAGCCCAAGATCGAATCGCCTCACGATGTCCTCATTGCCATAAACTACACTGGAATCTGTGGCAGCGATGTCCACTACTGGGAGGCTGGCCGAATTGGCTCTTTCATTCTGAAGGATCCCATGGTCCTCGGCCACGAGTCAGCAGGGACCATTGTGGAGGTCGGATCTGCGGTGAAATCGGTCAAAGTTGGGGACAGGATCGCATTGGAGCCCGGGACACCCTGCCGACGTTGCACACCGTGTCTGGCAGGCCACTACAACCTCTGCCCTGACATGCGCTTCGCAGCATCCCCTCCAATCGATGGTACCCTGGCCGGATACTATACTTCTGCGGAGGATTTCTGCTACAAGCTGCCGGATCATGTGTCTCTTCAGGAGGGAGCGTTGATCGAGCCCTTGGCCGTGGCGGTTCATATTACCAAGCAGGCTGAGATCAAGCCAGGCCAAGGTGTCGTGGTTATGGGTGCTGGGCCGGTGGGACTTCTTTGTTGCGCAGTCGCAAAGGCATTTGGTGCAACCACTGTCGTCTCAGTTGACATCCAACCCTCCAGACTTGAGTTCGCAGCTTCTTACGCCGCAACGCATACATTCACACCTGAGCGGGTCCCTGCCGAGGAAAATGCTGCCCGCTTGCTGAAGGAGGTTGGACTTGAAGGTGGTGCAGACGCTGTCATCGACGCTTCAGGCGCCGAACCGTCCATCCAGACATCCATTTATGTTGTGCGGAGAGGAGGTGTTTATGTTCAAGGAGGGATGGGCAAGCCCGATATCACGTTCCCCATCATGGAGCTGTGCATGAAGGAGGTGACAGCTAAGGGAAGCTTCAGATACGGTAGCGGTGACTACAAACTTGCAGTTGAGCTCGTTGCTGCTGGGAAGGTGGACGTGAAGAAATTGATCAGCGAGACGGTGCGATTTGAGGAAGCAGAGCAGGCCTTCAAGGATGTGAAGGCTGGAAAGGGGATCAAGATGTTGATTGCAGGTCCAAATGAAAAGTAGTCTCATATTGTGGGAAGTTGATAACGGAAGTCTGGTGAGTTGACTTGAGAGACAGCGAGAGGTAATTGCGCAAGCTATTTCTGGAGTGGGATGAGCTGTGAGAACACGAGAGTACTGTAATAAACAAACTTCCCACGATTAAGAAGGCATCGACGCTGAAGATGTGGATCGTACCGCCCCTCGCTCATGTAGGGACTTCCCTCTAGAGTGAAAACATCACAATAACGCAGAGCACCATTCTGAGTGTAAAAGTTGAAGCCACAAAAAAGAATTTCATTTGGCCGGGTGGTCCCAAAGTTCCGCTTCCCCAGAGCACCACTCGGCCGAGAAAACGCCAGCCGCGCAGCCTGGGCCTCGGCAACTCTTCTTCGTCGGGAGAAGCTGCAGCTCTCTTTTATCCACACGACAATAAATTCCTCACAGCCTTCCTGTCGCCGACAAAAAATTGTGCGCAATTCTTCTCTTCTCGCCATGTCTTCCTCCTCCCCCTCCACGGGCACGCAGATCAACCAGAAGATCGATTCGCTGCCTCCAGGCGTCGCAGGCAAGCTTCCCCACCTGCCAGAGTCGAAAGAGGAATTGAAGGAGAACGCGAAGGAGGTTGGGAAGAAGTCATTTGCGGGCTTACGGAGTCTGGCTGCTGGAGGCTTCGGTGGAGTGTGCGCCGTGGTTGTTGGACATCCCTTTGATCTAGTGAAGGTGCGGTTACAGACTGCGGAGCGAGGAGTCTACTCGAGCGCGCTCGATGTGGTGCGAAAGAGCATTGCAAAAGATGGGTTAAGAAGGGGACTGTATGCTGGCGTCAGTGCACCATTGGTGGGCGTCACTCCTATGTGTATGCTGCCCTCTGTCTTCGGCGAGCAAGAACTGACATTGGCTTACAGTTGCTGTGTCTTTCTGGGGGTATGATGTTGGAAAGAGCCTCGTCCGCCGATTCTCTACTGTCGAGAACGACCAACTCTCGGTTGCACAAGTCTCTGCAGCCGGTTTCTTCTCTGCCATTCCCATGACACTCATCACGGCACCGTTCGAACGAGTCAAGGTGCTGCTACAAATCCAAGGCCAGAAGCAATTGGCACCAGGCGAGAAACCAAAGTACAGCGGCGGTGTGGATGTTGTGCGGCAACTATACAAGGAAGGAGGAGTTCGATCGGTGTTTAGAGGTTCATTTGCAACATTGGCAAGAGATGGTCCTGGTTCAGCCGCATACTTCGCAACGTACGAGTACATCAAGAGAAGATTGACACCTCTTGACCCTGCTACCGGCAAGCCAAGCGGAAACTTGAGCCTGCCAGCAATCACATGTGCAGGAGCGGCAGCAGGTGTAGCAATGTGGGTCCCAGTGTTTCCGATTGACACCGTGAAGTCGAGGCTGCAAACAATGGAAGGGAAGCCCACAGTTGGAGGAGTGATCAGTGGGCTTTACAGGAATGGAGGATTGAAGGCTTTCTTCCCTGGATTTGGACCAGCGCTCGCGAGAGCGGTACCTGCCAATGCTGCCACGTTTTTGGGTGTTGAGCTGGCTCATCAATTCATGAACAAGACTTTTGGATGAAGGGAGGATTGTGGTGGATAATGAGGGCATTGTTCAGCGTATAGATCACTTGGGAGCATTCTGAAAGACGGATTTGACGGACCACGGATAGACGGACGAATAAGCAATGATATATTTCCTCAGCCAGCCGAATCCCGACTCAGAAGCACAGTGTGTTGATGTGTCGAGTAGGGTTTGACGAAGTGTGATGTCTAGCAAAAGATGCTTGGCAAGTCAAACCCCGAAGTCGGGCATCTAAGAGATCCATTCAGACAAGCCTTTCTCTCTTTGTCAGACTCGAGTCAGTGCAGTGAGGTGTGAGTTCTGAACCCCGTCCGGCACGCATACTGTGCAGGCTGCATATGCCACTGCAAGGGCGCCAAAGCAGACTGGGAGAGTTGCGGGGATAACCCGCGATTGATACTGTAGGCCGACCCCAGCCGCCCCTCCGATCGGCCGCACTTTTTTTCTAGGGCATTTCTGGTGTGATGCTAACAATAAGACTCATCGAACGTTCCTACGGTCAATTTTCCATTTCTTTTGCTCCTGCAAAGACCAATCGATCACAACCCAATCAACCCATTCTATATTCCACAGAACCTGAAGAAAGACCAAATGATCAACGACCAGACTACAGGTGGAATGGCTACCGAACTGCCCACTCATACTACCAATGGCGAGAACAATGGCAAGAAGGGTGAGGCCAACTTCACCGTCAAGACGGGATTGGCACGGATGTTAAAGGGAGGAGTCATTATGGATGTTGTAAATGCTGAGCAGGTGTGGATTCCTTTTCTCACCAAACCTTGGTACAATGGCTCACCCCACGTCAGGCAAGAATAGCAGAGGAGGCCGGCGCAGTTGCAGTCATGGCTCTCGAGCGAGTGCCGGCAGATATCCGGGCTCAAGGAGGAGTGGCACGCATGTCGGACCCCAAGATGATCAAGGAGATCATGGCAGCCGTCACAATCCCAGTCATGGCAAAGGCACGAATTGGTCATTTTGTCGAATGCCAGGTACGCTCTCTACCTCCCGGCAAAGAAAAAACAAATGATAACAATCTCCCAAACAGATCCTCGAAGCCATTGGCGTAGACTACATCGACGAATCCGAAGTCCTCACTCCAGCCGACCACGCTCACCACGTCGAGAAGCACCCCTTCAGCGTCCCCTTCGTCTGCGGCTGCCGAAACCTTGGTGAGGCTCTACGACGTATTTCCGAAGGAGCAGCAATGATTCGTACAAAGGGTGAAGCAGGAACCGGCGATGTCGTTGAGGCAGTCAGACACATGCGTACAGTTAACGCTGAGATCTCCCGCGCCTCCGGCATGTCAGATCCCGAGCTCAGAATATTGGCAAAGGAGATCCAGGCACCATATGATTTATTGAAGGAGACAGCGAAATTGGGCAGGTTACCTGTTGTCAACTTTGCGGCTGGAGGGGTTGCTACACCTGCTGATGCTGCGCTGATGATGCAATTGGGATGCGATGGTGTGTTCGTTGGAAGTGGAATCTTCAAGTCTGGTGATGCTTCGAAGAGAGCAAAGGCCATTGTGCAAGCGGTGACACATTACAATGATCCAAAGGTTCTGGCTGCTGTCAGTGAGGATCTGGGAGAGGCCATGGTGGGCTTGAATGTGAGCTCGATGGATGCAAAGGACAAGATGCAAGGAAGGGGTTGGTAATGTGCTTGCGGGAGGCTTCAAAACTGGTTCAAAAAGTTCTACACAAGACCTTTAATGGTCAAGATAATTTGTACTTGCATGACGACGATGCTCTCCTCAATGTCTCTTCAAAAGATTCAAAAATTTCTGCCCCACTTTGAGCAACCCCACATTACTGTAGCCGAGGCTGGCCAGGACCCCTGACGAGCTTCATCCGAACACACCTCGCAAGGAATGAGGCACAAAGGTAGGCTCAAGTCCAACATCGCACTCTAATCCGCAATCCTCACCCCTCGAATTCATTCATGATGGCTGATCCGTGATCTGCGCAGACCGAGTCAAGGCGGTGACTGCTCCACAACATCAGCCCACTTCCTCCCGTCGGTCCCAAATACCCCGCCATTGACCTTTATTTCTCAACGACCATCCTCCATCCCCACAATCCACGATGTCTTCCAGACCAGAAGTGGCTAGGCAAAATACGGCGGATATCGCAGAACGAGACTACTTCGACGAGAACCCCCCTCCTCCCGCCCTCGACACGCACACCGCCCTCGCGCGAGACTTCATCAACCACCACGCCGCTGCGGGAAGACGCGTCGTACTGGTAACATCTGGTGGGACAACAGTCCCTCTCGAACGACAGACAGTCCGCTTCATTGATAACTTCAGCGCTGGAACGAGAGGCGCCACCTCCGCAGAATACTTCCTCGAGACCGGCTACGCCGTTATCTTCCTACACCGACAGTTCAGTCTGCTCCCCTACTCGAGACATTACAGCCATGCCACAGATTGCTTCCTTGATTTCCTACATGAGGGACCGAACGGTAGCGTGGTGGCCAACGAGGAATACAGGGAGAAGATGCTGATGGTGCTCCGGAAATACAACTCGGCGAGAGACAAGAACCTGCTTTTGACATTACCCTTCGTTACGATCACGGACTACCTCTTCGTCTTGCGAGCAATCGCCCAACTCATGCGCCCATTAGGTCCAAATGGCCTCCTATACCTTGCAGCGGCCGTCTCCGACTTCTTTGTCCCTCCTGAGAGGATGGTGGAACACAAGATTCAGTCGACGAATGCAGCAGATTCGAAGGTCGCCCCAAAAGAAATCGAAGAGGAAGATGAAGAAGCTTTTGACAATTTCGACTCCTCACCTGCGGTCCCACGAAGCAAACGCTTAGTCGTCGACCTCGATCCCGTCCCAAAGTTCTTGAAGAATCTCGTTGATGGGTGGGCTCCAGAGGGGATGATCGTATCTTTTAAGCTCGAGACAGATCCGGAGATCCTGGTACATAAAGCACAATACTCGCTGACGCGGTATCAACATCATTTGGTGATTGGGAATTTGCTGTCGACGAGGAAGTGGGAGGTTGTGTTTGTGGCTCCGGGACAATCGGACAAATGGATCAGAGTGCCCAGACATAGAAGGAAGAAGACAATTACAGGGGCGGAAAATATGGTGGGGGTGGCTGCCAGTGGAGGGGATTTTGCTGAAAAGCCCTTGGATCCGAATGATCTGCCAGAAGGGGAGCCAGAGATGGACATTGAGAGTCTCATCATTCCGGCGGTGGAGGAGATGCATACAACTCACATAAAGAATGCCAAAGCGCATTCGTAGAGCAATCAAAAGTTCTTCCAGATTCCGTTCATTGCCTGACATCAGTGCTCGATCAAATTGAGCCAATTCATAACCATCATCGCCTTCACCAGGTTGCCCCTCATGTCCAGATGTACACCATCATATTTGTTGCTCTGGATGCTCATGTTCCAAGTCCCAAGGTGTTCGACTCCTCTCCTTCTGGCCTCGATACCCACCGCTTCCTCGAACAGCATCAGTGCTTTGTTCCCTTGCGTCACAATCCAGTCATCCGGCTTCTCCTTTCCAGCAGCATTCGGAGTGACGAACAATCCATGCCAGTGCTTTGTGTTGCTGTTTTTGATCGCCTGTAAAACGGCGTCAAACCAATCGAGGGACTTCATCAAATCAAGGTTGCTCCACAGGCCATGGCCAAAAACAATAGCCTCAACCTTGTCACTGCTGCTAGCGACACTGATCCTCAATCGGTCGAGTTCCTCCTGCGGAATCGGGAATCGAACAATTTGTTCCACAGTAGCAGGAGTCAGCAAGAGAAGTAGGGGTCCGGGGCAGGCCTCACTAATGACATTGATAGGACTCGCACAAGAGACGCTACCGGGGTCGTGCGCGAGAACATCAGCGGTCTTGTAGATTCCTTGTACAGAGCATGACTTGGCATCGAACTGCTCGTTGCAGAAGCATTCCTTCCTGGCACCAGGTCAGCGAGGAGCCACTGAGCCCTTAGCAAGACCGTACCTCTCCTGCAGCGAAAAGTTCCAATCTGTAACGGCACCGTAACCAAGATCTTTGCGAATCAGGATGTTAATGCTCCCAATCATGTGTCTCAGCATGGAGTCTCCAACCAGGACCACCTTGTCGAATCGTCCAAGTATTTCACAGACTTCTTCTGATGTGAACCAGCGCATATCACAGCCGCGAGGCATATACGGAGCATCGTGCCCAATTCGGCCGCCGGATGACATTGCAGTGAGCATTGAGGCGCGATCCAGGCACAGAGGACTGAAAGGCGCATGCAGGTCGAGAGAGGAGACATTGCATGCATTGTGGAACTTGTAGGATTGGAACGTATCTATGGTGTCTGGAACTCGGTATGCTCCTGGCTCGGGAGGTTGGAAGGCAGCTTGGGAAACAATTGTCGTGTTGCCGATGTCGATAATGTGCAGAGGCTGTGCTGGTCAGTAGAGATGCTTCGCTGATTGTGGTTCCACAACTCACCCTTGAAGTTGCCAGTTTGGGAATCCAGTCATGAATCAGGACGAAGCTGCCAGTGAGAAGAAGCAGAATGCCGATTCTAAGCCGAGTGAGACGTAAGCCAGAGAAGCGTGAAGGTCGCGCGGCTCTGTTGGCCCACTTGACGGCCGTGCTTGGAGGAGTCTCAGGAAGAGGAGAAGAGAACGGATCATCGCCGAAGCGTGATTTGTGCAACATCTTGGAACGCGCTGGCGCGGAGAAGGTTGGGAAAGGTTGTAAGGTTGTCAGGATGTCAACATAGTAAGTAAAAGGGGACCGTGTTCGCGGTTTCCATTTCCGGCTTGCCAAAAATCCAAAATATATAGAGTGCAAGCGCGAACCTTCACAGCTACCCTGCTCTTCCCAATTCTCAACTTTCCAGCGCCTCTGCCAACACAGATGGATCGATGAGATTGGTGAGTTCCTCTTTCGTCATCGCATTTCTTCGATCTCGCTGTGCAACCCATGCGTCTTCTTGGACCAGGAAGTCCAGCACATCGGGAGCCAAGATTGTGCCATTGAACGAATGAACAGGCCACACTTCTTTCAGTACAGCAGCACTCACACCAACAGCCGACGAAACTTGTGAAAAAATGCTAGACGGGTCTGTGTTGTAGATATTCAAGGCTTGATTCAAGGCTTTGAGCAATGCAATGATACCTTTCCGCGTTGCAGCATCCTTGTGCTTTGTAGCGGTGCTGTGAAGGTTGAAAATCTCCCGATAAATCGTCTGTCTGATCTTGGAATACCGCCAGATTGGACGCTCCAATCGCGTCGATGGCAAGTTGTACAGTTGGTCCCCACATCCCGATTGCGTCGATAGATCCGTGCTGAAGCATATACGGGAGCGTTCCAGCACTGCAAGGTGAGCTGAGCAAATACTGCCGGAGACCACAGAGTAACCGGAGGCCCCCAGCCCGGCGCTGGCGAGCAATTTCTCGACGAAATGCGCAGCCGAAGTACTAGGGAACGTGCCGATCCTCTTTCCTTTCAGATCCGCCGGGGATGTGATGTCTTTCTTGTTGGCTATCAGACGATAGGCAATCTCAGCGACTGTGTAGATGATGCGGAGGTCCTTGTGTGTCTGGGGGAAATTACAAGTCACCAGTTGCTTGGTAAATCTTCGAGAGAACGGGGGCTTCCACCACTTACAGCATAGTGGCGTAAGGCTTGGGTTTCTGCATTTGCTGCCAAGTGGATGCTCGTATCGCTCACAATGTTTGTGACCCCGCCATTGACAAACGACGTGGTTCCAGCGTAGAACTTCTTGCTCGCGATGAGCTCTAGTGTGTACTCTCGATTGTATTCAAGGCACTTGCGATTTTCAGGCTCGAGACGAGAAAAGTTGAATGGATAACAGGCAGGCCGAGGGACGGTAGAAACTTATGCTCTTCTGTTATAACATCTGCCCCACTTAGGGAAGAAGTCCTAAGAGTACCTAACTCCCTATCATTTTCGTCAGATCTGGAACTTCGGCCAATGTCAACTTTGATGAAGTGAGGAATGTCAAATTTTAGGGGCATCAGTCTTGCGAGAGGGGAGTTGTGAAGACTGCTAGACTAGCCCTTCAACCAGGCAAGAAAGGGGGAGCAGACAGCCTTGACAATGTCTCCAGCCCAGCCGATGTATCCCCTTCCCGCTTCAACAGCATTCAAAATCTTGACATATCGAAGGGTATATGCTTCCACCTCTTCAAAGTCATGGGCGAATACTTCAAAGCTAGAAATCTCGTTGGCTTGCTGAGCGTTCGGGGGAAGAAGATGCCCATCGTCGTCCAACCTGACTCGAGGACCCACGGCAAGAGCTCTACCACGAATGGAAGTGTCCGCAGCAAATCTCGACGCAGCGTCCACAACGTCCTCATGTTTACCCATTCCAATCCCAGCCAGAAAAGCTCTGCCGACAGGAGAGATCATTGGAGTATCCATAAAATATGGCAGCAGCACTAATATATTATCAGCAAAAGTCCGCAGCAGGCAATATGAGGGAGAAGGGCTTCCGCACAGTTCACACGAATTCCGTGTTGAAAAGAGGTCGCTCTCAAGGACCTGAAGAGCCCGAGAACGCCATGTTTTGCAATGCTATATTGTATATGTCCCGCGAATGGAATAAGTGAGGCAACAGATCCTATCAGAAGGAGGTGCCGATCTGGTTTGAAGTCTGACGAATTATAGGAACTTCGAGGAAGCCAGAACAAGGCCAAATGAGCAGTGTATAAAACGCCTTTCAAATTAACGTCAATTGTTCGCCATTGCGGTTCGGGGGGTTCGTCCTGGTCAAGGTGATGCGGTTCATTGAACTTTGTCCCCGACTCCTCAATCCCAGCATTTGCAACAACTTGATCTAGTCGTCCGTTGGGGCTCAGTTCAACCGCTCTTCGGAAAAAGTCGACCTGACTCTGCCAGAGAGTTACATCACAATAGAGGAATTGGTGCGAAGCATTCCTAGTCTCCTTCCGTAATTCCTCAACCAAAGCCTTCCCCTGCGTTGAATCAATGTCCCCAATGATTATCGTAGCACCATAGCCAGCCCACCGCCTGGCAAAGCCTGCCCCGAATCCTGACGCTCCTCCTGTGATCGCGATCGTTTTGCCTTGGAGTGACGCTGTATCGTAAGGTGCCTCGGTATCGATCGGCGGCGATTGACGCGCGAGACCAACAATGTTCTTGGACATGATAGGCAGAGGCCGCAGGTGGAGGACTGCTAGAGGTTAGCAATGCTTTATTAAAAGAGTCGGAATCGAACCAGTGTTGTTAAATGGCAGCTTTGGCAGCTTAGACAGCTGGGCATTTATGGGTGTCCTGCTCAGCCATGCGACCATGCGAGTGAGCTTGATGGGGGGAGGAGGTTTTGAAGGCAGAAAAACATTTTCAAAGTCAATGCTCAATTGGACCTGCAGTGGTGACGCTTTCAGCTGTCTCCGTGTCTCTCGCGTTGGACACACAAAAGTGAACAAGGCTGAGACATTTTCCCGCACCCTGCGCTTTCGACCCAGCAAGACTTGGGTCCCCACGGCCCCCATGCTCTCGCCAACCTCTCCCCCCCTCTCTTCCCTCTCATGCCTCGACCTCCTTTTGGGATGCACTCCCTATGTCGATCACCAAGACGCAGTGTGATTTGTGACATCTATAAGCAGCATCGCAGATCCTCACGACGATCTTTTGCAGTCTTGGCATCCAGAACCTACGAAGTCGGTCATCCTGCCTTCCTTCAAACACAAGCTAACAACACTCAGGACGCTGTTGATCTGCTAAACACACTTCAAACACCATTTGAAGCCCTAAAGAAGCAAAGAGATATCGGTATTCGACCCAGCGAGACAGCGAACAGCGAACTGAGGAGATACCTTGACCAAACTGGCTACTCAGTACACTCCCCTCCCCTCCCCTCCCGAAGACCGTAGCTACTGATCTATCATCCAGCAACGAGACTTGAACAAACTCAATGTCATCCACGTCGCTGGCACCAAAGGCAAAGGCTCCACCTGTGCTTTCGTTGACTCGATCCTGTCACAATATCGCAAGTCACATGATATCCCTCGAAATGTTGGACTCTTCACCTCCCCACATCTCATTGCCGTTCGAGAACGCATCCGGATTAATTCGGTCCCGATATCCAGAGAATTGTTTGCCAAGTATTTCTTTGAAGTCTGGGACAGGCTCGAAGCTGCCGCATCGAAATCAGAGGTCCCTACTCCGAAGCCTGTGTACTTTCGATATCTCACTTTACTGAGTTACCACGTCTTTCTTCAGGAAAGCGTCGATACTGCAGTCTATGAGGTTGGCGTGGGTGGGGAATTTGATTCCACAAATATTGTGGATCACCCTGCTGTGACTGGAATCTCGACCTTGGGAATCGACCATGTTTTCACGTTGGGGAAAACGATCGAAGAGATTGCCTGGCATAAAGCTGGGATACAGAAGAAGGGAGTCCCATCTTTCACTGTGAGCCAAATCCCGGCCGCTCTGGCAGTTGTTCAAGAACGGGCCAAAAGAAAAGACGTCGAGTCTCTTACTGTGTTGGCCGAGGATCCTCGACTTAAAGGCGTCAGCATTCGACCTAATGCATCATTTCAGCGCTTGAATGCGAGTTTGGCGATTGCTTTGGCCGAGACTGTGCTCCAGAAACTTGACTCAGGCTTTGAGGTACGCGCGACATTGTTACCGAAAGAGTTTGTGCATGGATTGGAGCAAGTACTATGGCGTGGAAGATGTGAGACCAAAAATGAAGGAGATATCACATGGTATCTTGATGGCGCCCATACACAAGACAGCATTACTGTTGCTGCAAAATGGTTTCATGATGAGAACTTCGAGAAGTACTGAATCCCAGCCTGGTTGCGAACCACGTGTTGACAAGAAACAGGCCAGGGACTCGCGTCCTCATTTTCAACCAACAAGGTCATCGTGAAGCTGTGGAGCTCCTGGAAGGGCTCTTCAAGGCCATCAATACCCAGAGATCCGTGCCCTTTGATCATGTTATCTTCTGCCCAACTGTGCCATCAGATAAACTGAGCAATCGAGGTTGGGACAACTGCCACTCTCACTCTTGTTCAGACTGACCATGCAGATTCGATGAACCTTTCCACCGATACTGCTGCTGTAGCGGGATTGGAAATGCAGAAGAAATTTGCAAAGAGATGGAGAGAACTTGGTACTGCTCCCTCGACGACCATCAAAGTGCTGCCAAGCGTAGAGGACGCTGTCGAGTATATCAGAAGCTTGAAGCAGCAGGGCGAGCCTAAGGTTCATGCTTTCATCACGGGCAGTGTGCATTTGGTCGGCCGGGCACTCGGCATCCTGGAAGGCGCGGAAGCACTGTGAAATAGAATGTCCAGGAAGTCATCCCCGCCATTATCCCATTGCTTCTAAACCCTCTAAATGCAAAACCGTATGTCATCCTACCATCGTCATCAAAAATTATCTCATTTCTTCTCATGTTCTCCCTCCTCTTGTCCAAGTTTCTCTGACTTCTCTACTACATCGACCATGAATCCTCCTCCAAGCAGTATTGCCGGTTCATCCAGCTGATGGTGCTCATAACTCAAAGTCCCAACACCACCGGCTTCGAGTAGGAATGTCGGTCCATCTGCCAGCGTCTTTCCCGCCCACCGCATAGCAAACGCTCTTAGGATATGTCCATGAGCTACCAAAAGAACATCTCCAGCCAGATCGCTGTGTTTGGGCTTGCCAATAACAGGTGCATGATATTTCTCCCGTATCTCCCCGATAAGTCGATCAATTCTGTGCGTGACTTGCTCGGGAGACCTGTTCTCGTCATCAGGGGATCCCAGCAACCGGGGTGGGGAATATATACTCGCCCCCAGGACAACCTTCTTTCCAGATATCCCACCCCCCATTGGGCCCACCAATACCCTGCTTCTTCCTTAATTCCCGAATCTGCGGACTTGTGATTCCCTCGTAATCGCCATAATCCCACTCTCGGATGTCTTCCGTGATTTCCACACTGGCTTCCGTGCGGATGTCGGAATCAGGATGCGAGCGTTCCTCCTGCCAGGGAAGCTTGACCCGGCAGCCAAGGTAGAGGAGTTCGAGAGTCTTTTGGGCACGCCTTCTTGGGGAGACATAGCTTCGTTTCTGTCAGTGATGCCTGGGATGCAGGAAGAACTCGTACATGTGCGCAAGCTTCCGTGGTACGATCAAGCGATCATCACCTACCAATGCTCTTCCTGTTGCAAGAATTCTCTTCTCTCCGTTTGCAGTCAATGGTAGCTCGGTTGTGCCGGTATGTCGGCCGTTCAGAGACCATTCTGTTTCGCCGTGGCGGACGATGAATACTCTGGGGGTGGTCATTCTGGAGGTGGCTCCCCAGCACGCTTGGGAATGTGTCCAATTGCTTGCAGAGGCGAACAAGCAGGCAAAAGGCGATTGAGTTGTCTAGATAATAAGAACCACAGCCTTCTTGGAAGTGAAACAACCAAAGACTGTTGTGGTGGATTCGGAGAAGGCGGGGATTGATGTCGCGCCAGGATTAATCAGCGTCATGCCTCGAGGCTAGAGCACAGCCTTGTCGCAGATGATTTCGACTAGAAATCAGCAATTCCCCCTGAAAGCCGAATTTTCTCGTTGACATTGACGGACTCCGATGAATCTTGGTGTGAAATCAAACTGTTGAGCAAACTGCCTGGCTCCAAATGTATTTAGGTATGGATGTATAATTTAAGGCTGGATCTGTATCTAATCCGGGGCCACTCAACACTTTACCGCTCCTCGGAGCGGGTGGGCGAAGGGCAAGAAATGTCCTCATTCTGCAACGCCTTTCGAATGGAGTAGCTTGTTCAAGATTGGCAGACATTCTGTTCGAGTTATGTTGGTACACTGAACAAAACCTTCTGGAAGCCCTATCATCTTCCCCCAAACTTCCTCGCCACCCATCCAGCACCATACTCCTCATACTCCTGTCTTGTGACACTCAATCTCCCCAAAGCCTCTTCATCCTTTGCCAGATTCGCCCCTCCTTGCCAGGTGTTGACAACTGGATCTGCCGGTCTTGCTACACGAACAATGCATTCCGCAGGGGCCAAACTTCTGATCTCTGCCTGCAATCTGAACACAAAGCCCTCGATCTTCGAGTTCCCCCCAACCACAACGATATTTGCCAAGAACCCAGGCCATAATCCCATCGGCAGACTTGATAAACTATCCATTACCTGCTGTGCAATGCCTGATTGTCGAAGTCCAATGTCTGTGGGGCTGAACAATAGTTCTGGAACCGTAAATCGTTCATTCCTCAGTGTCAAGACATCCTCTGAGGCTCCCATTGCTTTGCCCTTTACCATCTCCTTCAACTTTGTCGCAGCTTTCGGATCGTGGTCCCTCACATATCCCTTCGCTCGCCCGTGGTAATCGGGAAGCACATAATCCTTTGCAATCCCATCAGCAGTCTCGTACACCGGCCGGCGATCCCCCTTCGGCCCCTTCCAAGTCCTTTCCATGTCCGCCTTGAAGTCTTTGCTAACGTAGCATGTTGCTTCTTTGATCTCATTTACGAGGTATGTATCATTTCGCATGTCGTACTGGCGCAGGGAGAGCAATCGCGTAAGGTAGTTTGTAAGGAGTTTGCCTCCGACATCAAGTCTTCTGATCGCAGATTGGATTGGACGTCCAAGAAGGAGAGGTGCGATCGACGTGTGCGAGTAACCAGAGTCGATGAGCATGAGGATTTCGGCAGGGAGAGTTGGAGTGGAGGCCGGGTCGCGCGGTGGTGATTTGAAGATAGATTGAATGTCCGTGTATGCGTTCAGAGTTGGCGCTGGAGAAGTCAGCCGCGTGCTCAAGAAATCAGGTGGAGTCAACCTGCCAGCAACCCGCAGATACCTCGCGAACCCAAATTCCTCAAATGCCACCTGATCGCAGTTTGTTTGTAGCGCTGGCAGAGCATTTGGGGCCTCGGTGAGAATCAAGCCTGTTTCTGCAGGATCGCAGTGAAGACTCGCCTTAGGATCGAAGAACTCATGTTCCCAGATCTCCTTTTCCGCCTCCCAATTCACAAGGTAGCCCTTCTCCACAGGGCGCCGGAAGAGGATCTCGCTGAAGTCCTTGCAAGAGGAGAGCTGCGATCCGATGTAGACTTTCTTGTCGCGATCTCGGGCGAGGCAGTTGGGGATGATGTTGGGAGCTGGCGTTTCCGTGTCTGCACCAACAAGTCCTGCCTTGATGGTATACGCGCCATTATCAAGCACGAGTGTATTCGCAGGCGGCGGGGGGCCTGAAGATTTCGTGCGTCGAGGTGCCATCTTGTTGTGGTGATGTTGTTGATGGCGTTGAGAGTTCACAGCGCTGAGCCTTGAAAAATTAGCGAATTCAGGGCTGCCTTGCTTCGCGCCCGCGCTTGGTCACACACCCTCCCAAGCATCAGCAACCTCAAGATCTTCATCCCTTCGACTTCCACGAAGTTACAGCCTCTTCACTCGACGTCTCGTGATGTCTTATGGCGGCATTTCTCCGCAAGGGACCTGCGTCCCGGCCGTGGGCATCCCTCCATTCTGCGACACGATGTTCCTCACTCATCTTCTCACGCGCCATCTCGAAAGAACGGAGCTTTGAAAAGGCTGTCGAACTGCTGGAAACCCTCCAGTCGAACAAGCAAGTGGTGAAGACTCTCTCTACTTCTGGACAAGATGCCAATGCCGTCGCGATCCCGGAAATGTTAGGCCTGCTACGCAAAGTCGGTTACCCTCCCGAGGATTTCACCGACCGCCTCAACTTCATCCATGTTGCCGGGACAAAGGGAAAGGGGAGCGTTTGCGCAATGGTGGAATCGATTCTGCTGCAATACAAGGGAAGTACTGGTGAAAGTCAGAAGGGCACATTGGGGAAAATTGGTCTCTACACCTCGCCCCATCTGACGACTGTTAGAGAACGAATACGAATCGATGGCATCACCTTGTCAAAACGAATATTTGCTCGCCATTTCTTCTCCCTTTGGGATCGATTCAGTAACGCAGACTGCGAGACGAGACCGAGCTACTTTAGATACTTGACAATTATGGCCCTACATACATTCATACAAGAGGGAGTCGAAACTGCAATTATTGAGTGTGGCATCGGCGGCGAGTACGATAGTACAAACATATTGCCTCAAGGTTCGGTCACAGCAACTGGAATCACAAGCTTGGGGATCGATCATGTTGGGATGCTGGGTGAAACGATCGAAGAGATCGCTTGGCACAAAGCTGGAATCATGAAAGGAGGTGTACCAGCATTCACAGTCAAGCAATCCCCGGATGCGCAAGGTGTTCTCGAGAAACGGGCCTCTGAAAAGGGGGCCGATCTGGCAGTTGTGGAGCCCTCTTCGGCCACAGAGGAGCTCAAGCTAGGACTGGGCGGCGAATTTCAAAATGAGAATGCCGCTCTTGCGACGTCCCTCGCTGCTTGTCATCTCAGGAGGCTCGGCATCTGTCGCGATGTGCCTGAACCTGGGCCCACCGCCCTAGACACTCTGCCTGGCAACTTTGTAGCTGGCTTGCAAACTGTGGAATGGCCAGGGCGGTGTCAGATTCTGAAAGATGGAAATCTTACATGGTACCTAGATGGCGCGCACACTTCAGACAGTATTCGAGCTGCCGCTACTTGGTTTCACGGCCATTTGGTACAAGCTCAAGCGGAGCCGAATCCACCTTCTGCCACAATGTTAATCTTCAATCAGGAAGATCGGGATGTTGAAAGGGCAATCTGCAAGCCCGGTGCACGTGCGCAAGCACGTGCACCAGCCACCTGATTTATGCACGCAGTGCATATAAGGGAGCTTCGCTCCCTTATTTGTACAATACACTCAATACATGCTTTTATCCTCTCAACAAGAACCGGGTCGTGAGCTCCATTAGTTTTCCAGAGCCCTTCTCACGGCCGGCCCGGAGGACATCGAGCATCTGATATACCCGGGTCTTCGATTTGACCTTTTGGTAGTTATTATACTCGCACTTGCTCCGGATCGCCATACACGCGCGACCTTGCTTCTCCGTCCAGATCGGGAGCGCTTTATTATACTCTGCCTTGAGCAGGGTATAGTCCGCATGCCGAGCGAGGTGTGCCGCCCGCTGGGCCTCCGTAGCACTGTCCAGGAGATCCGCCGGAGGGGGCGGGCAGTATGGCTCCTTTGCTTGCTGCATTGTATCCGCAAAACCCCCCATTGTGAGCGTCTCCTCTAATCGACGGAAGAAGTCCCACCAATTGGATCCGTCATCCTTGAGCTGTGGAATCAGGCTAAGGGACATCCCACTCATCTTGCTCTCGTCGGACGACATAGCTTATCCGTCTGATTGTGAGTCTGGGATCTCGATAACTTCGATAGGAGAGGAATTGGTTGATCTATAGCGCTTGCGCGGACGTAGACGGGTGAGTCGTGGAGGACGAGAAGGAGGACGAGAGAGAGGTGACGGGGACCTTGAATGAGGAGGTCTTTGCGGAGGAGGACGTGGACGTGGAGGATCTGAGTCTGAGCTTGATAGCTTTTGCGGAGAGGGAGGCTCGGACTCGAAATGGAAGAACTCGAAAGGGGCCTCTTGAGGGGCCGAGAGGAGAGGAGAGCGGGGCTGTGTGACGGTTGGTTGAGCAGGAGGTAAGGCTTGAGAGGGAGGATGAGAGGGAGAGTGAGTCCGCGAGGGGATTACTACTTGAATCTCTCGAGGAGAGCGGACCGTAAAGCCAAAGAGATCCGAGGAACCTGCGGGTGAGTGGTGGCTCTCTTGGAAATCTGCTTGCGAGAGGGGAACAGAGGAGTACGGCCCGTCAAATGCGGACGGATAGAAATCGGGGTCTGGAAGGCCACGATATGTATCGAACGTATCTTGAACGGTACTCTCGATATAGGAGAGCCAATGGCTGAGATTACGCTGTGCGAGACGGTAATTTGGTAGAGATTGCTCAAGTTGGAGGAGGGTTTGCTCGGTGAGTTGTGGGCGAGAGGGAACGGTAGAGGATCTCCCCTGCCTTTTATCTTCCGGGGCAGATTCTCCCCCCTCTCCACCAGTTTCCTCACGCTTGGGAGTAAACATCGAGTAAACAAACCGTATGAACCGTACGGGTACGGGTACAGGCTCGGAAATAAAGTTCTCACCACTTTGGCGTGGTATAAAAAATTGAGACACAGCTCACCGGAAGTTCTCCGGGACCGCCACACTAAGCGAGAGCCAATAAGAGGGCCTCGCTTCGCGATTAATAGCTTTCAGAGGTTAAGAATAAGGTTTTCATCCATGCGATTCAAGGGAATTAGTCCATTATACGAAGGTACAGTGGTTTCCATAGTGATACGAGAGCTCAGAGCCCACAAATCGGTACTTGACAAGGTAGTAACCGAGAGGCGCGGAGCTAGTGGGCCCACAGCCCTGGGTACGGAAATGAGGAGGCTGAAAAACGCCTTTTGGAGGCTCCGTACCCGTAAAACGCGGTAGAAAAAGGGAGAATGCGGTAGAAAAGGGAGGGAAGATTGGAAAAATTAATTTCCGGGGGTCCACATGACTCGTTCACGGATGAGCTTTGGCCGAACCATCCGTACGTACTAAGTAAGGAGGCTGGGAGGGGCCAAAGCGAGAGAGTGAGGCGAGAGAATGGAGAGGACACAGTGTCCTGTACCGAATTTCGAAAGCGAGAGATGGTTTTCGAAAGGGAAAGGTACCTGAAGCTCTCGCATACCAGAAATCGGGGCGAGAGGAGCTACCCGTTCGTGCCTTCCACAAGTTACCACTGGTGGTTCGTGAAAGCGATCTGGCCACACTAGTGACTTGGCCACCACCAAATTGGTGTTCCTCGCTAAGCTTCATGCACGGACTAGCCAACCAGAAGTACCTCCTATACAAATTTACTATGCAAAATACTTGGCCAAGTCGCTAGAAAGGCCAGATCGCTCTCACGAACCACCAGTGGTAACTTGTGGAAGGTACGAACGGGTATAAAAGGTTAATTTTCATGCTTTTACAAGTGGGTGGGACTTAGCGTGTGAGATGAGAGGGAGAGACTGAGTCCCAGCGGAAATCCGGGCATCATAACCTGTTGAGAGGATAAAAGCATGTATTGAGTGTATTGTACAAATAAGGGAGCGAAGCTCCCTTATATGCACTGCGTGCATAAATCAGGTGGCTGGTGCACGTGCGCAAGCACGTGCACCGGGCTTGCAGATTGCCCTTTCAACACCGTTTTATAGAGCGTCTCTGATTTAGTACCTACAAAATCAATTACAAGGCTGCTAATCTAGTAAATGAAGGTATTAATACGCTAAGACATATTACCTTAGTAGTTATAGCATACTTATCCCCTATAAAACCCCCTAAAAAGATTTCTGTTGAATATGGTTATGTGACATGTCACATGCAAATGACCACGTGCAAGGCCAACTAGCCTGTACAGACATGTATATAAGGTGGGCTCTGCCCACCTCCCATTTTACAAGAAATCAATCAAGATCTG